TTCCTGCTTTTGAAACTAATGGCGGCCGACCCAACTTCGGCGGGAAGTCAACATGCACTTAGGCTAATTGAGCGGGAAAATCCTGAAAGATCGGCGAAAATAAGTCAAAAATTATTTCATCCATCATTTGACTTTATACTTTCGAAATTTTAAAATTATTTAATTGAGTTTTAGTTCTTTTAAGTAAAATAATAATTTTGGTACTCTGTGATAGTATGAAAATAATTTAATAAATATGTATTTATAATACAACGCAATATTGAATGACACGAAAGTAGGCCACGTGAAATGCTGATGTTTTGTAATAATATTGTGTTATATTTTATGTTAGTGTGTGTGTGTGTAACTACGTAGTGCACCAATATTATAAATAAGTATGTTGTGTACCATTAAGCCTTCTTCAATAAACGGACACCAAACTATCTACGTCTTTATATTAAATTTATTATAACCTGCCGCCATCACCTAACATACCACAACTCATAAGTTGAGGTTTTTTTCCTAGCTGAAGCCTAAAGTACTTAATTCTAAACAGATCACATCTTTAATATTTTTTAGTTATTCACATCAAGCAATGAGTATCTACGAAATTTAAAAAGATAATGTACGATGGTACGATTTTTTCTTGTTATATAATTTTATTTGATATTACATATATTTAGTTATAATCACACTAATATTATAAAGGCGAAAATTTGTGAGTGTGTATTCTTCACGTTTAAACGACTGGAGCGATTTTAATCAAATTTTGTATGGAGTTAGCTGACACCCTGGATTAACACATAGGGCGTTTTACTACGGGAAAATATAGCTAGTTAGTAGCACAGCTAGTTAAAAATAAATACAGGGTATTTAAGAAAAATAAACGACCATTAAGTTCGCGATAGTATGATTGGTACCTAGTGCATCCGCCCGGTTAGCGGAGGGTGCTGTTCCGAGTGCTGCCCGGACCTCGTAGTTTTTTTTAATTTATTTATTAAGAAACCAACTGCGTTACAAAGTATATATGCATACCCTCTCATCGGTATCTATGTTTTTTGGATGTTCTTTATGCAGTAAAACTCTATTTGTACATTTGTTATATTCTATTCTTATGTAGTAAAACAAAATTTAGAATTAACTCTAAAAACTGAGATCTATGTATTGGTAACACTTATTGTAGTTGTAATATGCGTAGGTAAAAAAAATATAGTGAAGGGAAGTAACGAATAAGGATTTTTATAAAAATTGAGATTGAAAAACAAAATTCTTTAATTTTTTTATTTTATATATTTAAGTAAAACGTATAATATGCTTACATAATAATTTTTCACAGTGATCATTTCTTTAGTATTCACTCAGGACTTAATTACTTCTTACATGGGTGAAAATTTCAGAAGCAGAAGAACTCAGGATTAAATATTGAATAAAGTCAGGCTGAACCATAACTAATACAGTAATTTTTACCTGACAATAATTAGGATATTCGCTAAATTATTATTTTTTTCAACACACACCAATTAGCCCAGCCCCAAAGTAAGCACTGTTAGGCTTGTGATAAGGGATACTAGGGTAACGGATAGAATACATATATTGCATATGTATATTTGTATAGAAATACATATTAAACATCCATGACTGGAGTACAAATGCTATCAGTCATCACACAAACATCTGCCCCCACCGGGATTCGAACCCGGGACCTCTCGGGTCGGCGACACCATGAAACCCGGCGTACAAACCACTCGGCCAAGGAGTTCGTCGAATTCATAGAATAACAATAAGTAAGTAGGTACAGTTCGCCTGTTCGCGTCCATTTAGTGCAGTTGAAAAGTTTGACGGCGATAATAAAAATATCCCAGCACTAATTTCTATGAAAAAATTGTGTAATGTGTTCATTATATAGTCTATTTTAAGATTAACTTTCAGTTTTGTTCGAAACATCTATTGTTTTTATTTAAATAGATAAACTTCGGAATAAGGCGTTTTACCCACTTCGCGTCCACAAAATCCAAATTGCGTCCACCCGTGGACCATTTAGCGTCCACCACCTTAGAAAAGAAATATAGTGGTGATATTTTTAAGAATTTGTATAGAAAGATTGTACCTATTTTAACAATTTCTTTATTTTAGAATATAAATATTAAAACCAACATTATTATCATTAAAGTTATTATCACTTTAAAAAAATAAAAAATATTCTTCTCAATATTGATTGAATTTAAAATTATATAAGTAGTAGGTAAATAATGATTGCATCATTAAGAATAAACAGTAATCAGTTTTGTTAATTTTACCCTAAAATCACAAGGTATGTTTTTCTCATCGTCGTCTTTTACGTCTGAAATAAGTATATGGTCACATTCAGAAAAAAATCTTTCTTAAATTTCTGATTTACCATTTCCTGTGTGACTTCTTGAAGAGCATGCACCTTCTTCTTTCGTTTTGGAGCAGTTTTACGAACCGTTTGAGAGTGTTTTAAACTCTGTTCTTGTTTCTCTATTCGTTCTAACTTTCTTTTCGTATTGCTTCCTGCTTTTCGTTCTTGATATGCTCTTTATCTTCTTAATACTTACTCCATGCAGCAGTAGATATGGTTGCTAGAGTTCTTTGATTATCTTTTCGTGCTTTGTTAGACATTTCAGATATTCCCGGTTTCTTTACTTCATTTGGTCTGCGCCCACTGATTTTGTACAAAATGTCTATGTGTCTTACCGATTTATTCTTTTCTCGAATTTCATTTAACGCTTTCTTTAAATCGTCGTCTGTGTATATTCTCTTTTCCTTCTACTTTCTTGTCTCCGAAGAACTCATCTCAAATAGAAAAAAATAAGAATGAAACAAATAAAGTATTTGATTGATTGATTGAAATTACTGATTTCATTTAAAAATAGCATTAAAAACACGTAGTATTAATAAAAATGTATTATAATAATAATCAACACCTATATTTTAAATTATAATTGATTAATTGTATTTAATGAAAATAGTGGACGCAATTTGGTTTATTATTATTCCCTGTAGGTTTAGTTTGCGTCCATTGCGGACGCAAATTGGAAGTTTTGTAATTTCGATGTAGTAATTCGCGTCCACCTTATTTTATTTATTAAATATAAAAAACATAAGAAAATTTATAATTAATATCATTCCTTTCTTCACTATAAAAGTCTAGAAACAGCTATGTATCCTAAAATTAACATAAAAAAATAAAAATCTTACCATCCATTGCGCCGCTGCACACTATTTTTTATCTAAACATCCCGCGTGTACGCACTTCCTTGATGAATAACCGAGACTAATTATTTTTTTTAAACGGCATTGTTTGGCGCACCTACCTTTTGACCATGTGTTCGTGCCTCTTATATATTAAGGTATTAGCGGTAATTACTTTTCGTTTGATTGGTGTGTTGGTTTACTTATTATTGAGAATTTTTTAAGGGAGATCCGTAAAATGGACGCGAATTGGGCGATGGACGCGAACAGGCGAACTGACCCTATTACCTAGTGTCGTTTTCACTAGTTTATCTGACCAATTCACGTTCAAAATACGTAGACTGTAAATCGTTCTCTCTCTCTCTCTCTCTTACTTATAGCTTTACTACCCTGACCATTAATGATAGTCGCTTCCATTTTGAACATTCAGACCCAGCAACCTAATCCTCCCCACCACCAATGAGAATCCGACCGTGATTCTTCTCTTTGCCTCTCTATATTCGCTCCCTCTAGCAGTGATCAACGTATCATCTGCGTAAGAGTCGTACGTTTCAGCTTGCTAAACCCACGGACAACCCAATCGTATCCCATATTTCACAGAAAAGGTCCAAGAACCCCTGTGCAATATCGCATACTTCTTTATGTAGAGCACTTCCCAATCTTCGAGATAGTGCTCTATGAACTTTTCAAATATAATGGCAGGTTGTGATGGCGCAATGACTTGGTTTAAAAAACTTTAGGAAAGATAATTAAAGGCATTTGCAATATCTAACGATACTGCAATTACTCTTTCTCCTCGATTCAATGTCGTGTGTATCATTTCACGAAGCGCCATCATCAAGTCCACGGTGGAGCATTCCTTCCGTATACTATATTGATTGATGCCCCGACAGCCCTGGCTTCTCCGCGTCCATATGTCGAAAAATGTGTTCAGCTATGAATGATGCCAGTTTCGTCTAACTGAACTATTGGGCGGTAAGAGGCCGGAGAATCACTGGTCTCCCACGGTCGCCGCCATGGACGCCCGCGTTTGTCCCCAACGGTCAGCGGACTCTTTCTACATTTTGGATGTTAGAAGATTTAAGGCACTTATGCCTGAATTTGGGAGGCTTCCTCTATTGCCTTTCTATTTGACCTGGAAATTTCCAATTTTGGCAACCTCACATCTCACGGTGATACCACACTTTGCAGTTTTATGTCATTTCGTATAGAAGCGCTGCGACGGGTAATCCACCTTACGCAGCGCTGCTCTGTGAAGTGATGTGAAACAAATACGCGAAGCAGACATCCGCTCCGTGCTCCCGAATAACCCAGCGCAGGCTCCTAAAGTTGTAACTCAGCCCAATATAATGGGTCAACATAAAAAATAGTCAATACTTTCCTGGAGTTTTAATTTTCATTTTAGTTTTATATAGAGAAAAACTACTTAATGGGGGTTTTACTCAAAATGAATTATTTTATTGCATTATTAAAGACTTTAGGAATGCAACAATTACTGAACTAAAAAGATAAATATTGTCAGAACAATATTTTATAATTCATATACCTACTTATAGTTTTTTTCACAAGTCATTGCCAAATCTTTGTAATGAAATATCTCTTTTCTGTAATTTGGGCATTTACTTGTTTTTTCCCATTAACACGGCGTTATCATCAAGAAAGAAAAAAGTTATTAAAAAAATATTAGAACCATAACACACCCTTAATATACCTAGTCAGAAATTTAAAACTTTAAAAATTATGGCTTTAACAATCATAGCTCCATTGCCTTAAACTTTAAAAACTAATTTGTCACTGTCACTGTGACGTTGACATGTAAGAGAGATGCCGATGCGCACCTCACTTCACTTCGCCAATGATAAACAACAAAACTGTTAATTCTTCAGGGCGTTGCCACACATTGTGTGTAAAACTGATAATAATACGATGAATTATAATGATAAGGCCTAAACGTATCGCGACATTGTACTAGATAAAAACTAGGGATTTTATGATAAACATACAAGGTACAGTGCTCCGTTAGTACCTGTATGTGACTCATTGGAATCACATAAGAAGTGCTGAATTACTTTAAAAATAAGAATTAGACCGCTTTATATTGTTTAGGTAACTTAGAAGCAGCTTTCAGACGAGTTCTAATTCATAAAAGTGTTAAGTTCATGAAACTATAAACAAAAGGATGGTTGTTTTTTAAGTGATTCACTCACGCGAGAAAAGTTTGTGTATCCGGAGCGTAACGTCTACTGACATGTGAAAAATGTTTAAAGACTGTATCATCGTCATCTCCTCCGTTTTCCTATGTGCTAAAGTGCAGTGTCAATCTAACAAAGACTTGTACAACGGAAAGTATGGCGAATACAACCAAAATTACGATCCCTCGCGAGCTACAGAAAGGCCAAATCCCGGTGATACAGACTACAGAACGTATGTGTACAATAACAGGAGATACGGAACAAACCCCACTCGATTCAACCCCTTTAATCCGAATATAAATCAGCCTGGAGGTTTTCCATACAATCCCCTGCCATACAATCCACTGAACCCCAACCCTTTGGATGATCAATACAAATACACTCCAGTAAGTTATCTAATTTATTCATACATCTACTGCAGTATAAATATCAATGAAAAATATTAAATAATACTATAATCTGTCTAACAAACAACAAAAGTTGCATTATTATATTAACTTTTAAGTTTTGATATATCTAGAAGATTTTACCTATAATTTGGTGATAAAACTAGTCTAATTCTAATGGAGTTAACCTATAAAACCTATGCCTCCAGGCATTAGACAGGATACATGTTTGTGACTCATGAGAACTGTGAGGAATATTTTCTAGTAAAATTAAATCTACTAGCTAAATTCTTAAAAATCCACAAAATATAATAAATTTATTTAGTATGCTTTTGTCCCATTAGAATAGAGACCCAAATAATCCTGATGCATTATTCCCGGGTGTTCTCGGAGGATGGCGTGAAGACTTACAAGGAAGGGAACGAAGAGACTCCAGACAACTAAAAAGAGATATCTTTGTCACTACCAATTATGGTCAGGTGCAAGGGTTTAAGGTAAAAGAAGTTTGCTAAAGTTCAAATTATATTTTTATGCTTTAAGTGCAAGTTTCATAATTCCTGTTTTTTTTATGCACAGTGTTTACACTTGAACCAAGAGTTATTGGCATTAACAAAATTAATTTTTCCTAAGAGAAATTATAATATATTTTTGAAATACACTTTAATAAAGTTAAAAAGGTATGAAAAAAGGAAACATATGCTAACATAGAATTTTCTAAGATAATTATAGTGGACAATTTAAAATAATCTTATATTAGACCCAGAATAAAATTGGTTGATCATGTATTTATTTATAACATGCTTTAAAAAGAATCAATGTCAAGTTCACTTCAAAATATTTTGTGTTAATTTTAGGAGATTTTATAGTACAGTTATGTACAGTTTGTTTTTTTTTAAGGTTTATTTATATGATAACCCAGATCCTAATTCTGGGTACAGACCCTGGTTGACACCTGTGGAAAGAATTCAAGGAGAAGTTTCTGTGTTCTTAGGCATTCCATATGCTCGACCGCCTGTTTTAGAAGGCAGATTTAAGGTATGTTTATACATAACTAAGTCATTATTCAATACAGAGTATTGATAACTTGCTACTTTATAATTACTGTCTGTCTATATGAACAGTAAAATTTATAAATCACATTCATGTTTTGTAATTATTATACGCAAAGTTTTATCGTAATTATTATAACCAATTCCCGAAATAAGATTATTTTCAGTAAAATTACACAAGTACAACCATTTCTTATAACATTTCTACTAACCTAACATTATTTGTTTGTAAATACACTGTTTCAATATTGTTTATTTGAAATTGGGACTTATCATAATATGATGTTGATATCCATATATCTCATAGTATTAATACATAATAAGACATTTTACAGTCAAAGATATTTTTATTATTATGTTTTAGAGTATGGCAGCTTCATTAAGACAAGAAACAAACTAACAAGTAATTCAAAATTATGTCCTACTAGTGGGTGCCCATGACCTGGTTTAATTGGTTTCCCATAAAAACATCCACCCCTTTTCTGGGATGAAACCTATCCTACGTCCACAACTATCTCTATATCAAATTTCATTCAAATCAGTTCAGCAGTGAAAGTGTGAAGAGGTAACAGACAAACAGACACACTTTCGCATTTATAATAATAGTATGAATTCAAATTTCATTTTTATCTCCTACAAATAAGTTTCACAGTCGTATTTGACACGTTTAATGTATAGTAATATTTTGCAGCCGCCGCGACAACATCCCGGTTGGCAGCTAATACAGGCGGTCGACTGGGGGCCCGCGTGTCCCCAACCGGCGAGCATGACGGGGGACACTAAGGGCATAAGGGACATGGACGAAGACTGCTTGTATTTGAACATATTCTCGCCCAATGTGAGTTTTAAATGAGACATTTACAGAACATAGAAAGAGGTAAGAAAGGTGATCATAGACAGTTAGTACAGGAACCGATGCCGCCGGTTCGCCCCCACTACACTTCTACCTAATAGACAGTAGCCAATCAAACGACGCGACATCAAACAATTGAACCAATAAGCGCTCACAACCGAGAGCAATAACGCAACCAAAGTTTTGGTCAAGTAATGAGCGTGATGTGGATTCTGGCATGATCATCTAAACTTAAAACTACATTTAACATGATTCTCTAAACTTAAAACTAAAGTTAACATGATTCTCGAAACTTAAAACTAAAGGAGATTGCTCAAATTGGCCTAAATGCACAAAAAATATTGACATACACGATAATTCTTGGCGTAATTTATAATTTAATTTACAGTCATTAGATTTCAAAGGACACCTTTGTATAATATATTTACTTTAAAAAGGACTTTTAATTTTACCGGTTTGGAAAACATACGAATCATTTTTAATGGCTATGGGTGTAGTAACATTCAGCCAAAGACTGATCGAAGTTGTTTATATAACATAAAAACAAATCTATTTCGTAAAAATCGATAAAATAAATCATTTTTTTTATTACACTGTGGTATTAATATCCACAACTGTATTATCATTTTCACTAGATGCAAATGTGCTCAGACAATTATTATAGATGGTAGGCGACATCATAAAGTCTATTGCCATACATATTTCGCCAAACACCTCCATAAACACATTATAATCTGTATATATGTTAGACTTTAAGGTATCTATCTATCTATGGGCCTACATTCCCTGACTATAAATTAATAAAATTATAAGGTGTGATGCACTAAAAATCTAAAATATGGTTATCTTAAAAACATTACAAAAATAATGAAGCTTCTGAATATATGGCTATAGAACCTAAATCTCTTAGCTTTCTTTGGTTAACGAGAGTTTAAAAATTCTCTCTAATCTGTGGCTCATTCACAATCATCACACAGTTTCTGTCACAGAGTACTTTATTATAACCGGAAATGACACCTGATTATAAAAGTAACTCTTATGCATTAACTTTAAAAACAGGCAACTATCTGTTAATGTACATGCCATAAATACCTGAATCTAATCCATAATTTCGGTACTTGGCTTGATTTACCTAGTTTACTACATAACTTATTTGTTTTTTATTATTTTAATATGTTCAGTGTATATGGTTTATAGAAGTTCTCAGGGGTGTCCGTCAATAATATTCGTTTCTACAGTAATTTATATATAATTTCGAATCTAGGAAACAATTTTTCATTCATGATTATTGGTCTTTAGGCCAAACATGTATGGAAGCTGAGCAATCTCCTTTAACACCTGTCTCTATTTTTTCAGTGTTGTTTAGTAGTAAAGTCTTGAAGCGTGACTTCCTGAAAATGCAAAAATGTCAAATCATGATAATATAAAAGTTATCCATCTCAAAAGTAAATAAAAAAAAAACAAACATTAAATACATGGAGTGGGAAGTTCCGATTTTATATTTACCTATGAACTATTTAATGTTATTCAAATTGTATTCAATTGAAGTCAAAATACAACGCTAAAGCTACCTCTGGCCTCCTCTAATTAGCGCTAAATTAGTCGTAACCACGAACCGAATAATCTATAACTGAATAATTATACAATACTCACGTTAAATAGACGTCGCTTTTACGCCATTTTATTACGTATTGACTTATTTTGGTCAAAGATTAGCGGCATTGGGCCAGTGGCCATAAACCAAACCTTTAAAATCCATAATGTTGTGTTGGATTCGATTCCTGCTACGAGTAAACGGGAGCTTTTTCGATCTTTTTAATTCTTATATCAAAGGGTCTTCTTCATAATATGATTTTGTAATTTGAATGTTTATTCTATACATTACATGCGTATTTCTAATGCAAATAAAAAAGAAATAGCTTTCTGAATCCCTGTAAACTTTAATTATATTAAAATCCCACACTTCTTTGGTATGGTATTGGTATAATAATTCCCCAATCTGTTTTATATTTTTGTAAAAAATAATGACATTAGAAGAATTTGTTATTCCTGGGACATTAACCGAAGTATACGGTGCGGCGCGCCGCGGCGTCAATACGTGTGTGCGTTGTATACATATTGTTTTAATGCCTAGACAATTTTAATATGTGTTTTTCGTTAACACTTTCATTTAATTACTTGGAAGTCATAATGAACTTCATGATTGTTGATGAACAATATTTACTATTCTGTGATAAAATAAAATCTCAAGTATAATGTAAATGTTTTTTTTATTAGGTACTTTACTCCCAAAATACTCATAAAACTAACTGAACAACATTTATTACGTGAAAATCGGCAATCTCACTTTTTGGTGTCTATAGAAATACAGTTTTGGTGAATATCTATCTATAGGTCTACTCTCGTTTAAGTCTTTTCGAATACAAAAAGGAACTCTGCGCTGAACAGTTTAAAGTTCACATTCGCTCGCAACCATATGGGCAGTGCTAGTGCTAGGAAATTGTACGAATGCATGCACCAGTGACAAATTGCAGCAATTAAACTCGTTTCGGTGCCGATTAACGATTCATTGTACGGATGATTGGGTGACGTAACACGGTTATTCGCGAGCGCGGCGGCCGGTGCGTCCTCAGATGATGTTGCTTAATTGCAATTAACAGATGACTCCATTTTATTGTACTTCACCGCATTGACACGGTACTTTTTTATGCTTTGGGTCAATTAGATAATAGGCCGAATTTATAAGTAGCCTGAATATAATAGCTAACAAATAAATCGATAATAGTTTATTGCTTTAAATGTGCTTGATTTTATAGATCTCTTTAAAATTAAATGACATGAAGATTTTTCGGATTTATTCAAAAACCAGCGGTCCGCCCTCGCTTCGCTTCGGTGTAGAGCTGAAGTGTAGACTACAGTTTTTGTTCTCAGGCTTGTATTATACACAATGACATTCATCTATGATTATTCTTATATCTGCATGCAGTCTCAGCCCGATCGGTTTAAAATTGACAAAGTTTCATACAAACTTTCATTCCCTATTTTATCCCCTTGGGGGTAGAATTGATCAAAATCCTTTCTTAGCGGATGCCTACGTCATAACATCTACCTGCATGCTTAATTTCAGTCCGATCCGTCCAGTGGTTTGGGCTGTGCGTTGATAGATCACTATGTCAGTCAGTCACCTTTGACTTTTATATACATATACTAGCTGACCCAGCGAACTTCGTACCGCCCCTAAAAAATAGGGGTTGTCCAGCGGACAAAATTGTGAATCTAAACCATTCTCAGATCCCCTTGAACACACACAAAAAATTTCATCAAAATCGGTCCAGTCGTTTAAGAGAAGTTCAGTGACATACACACTCACAGAAGAATTATATATATAAAGATAGATAAAAACGGTCATTTTTATTACCTGTATTTATAATCAATCTAAAATTCTCATATTTCCGTTTTCCAGTACTCATTTTCTACACGTTTTACATGATTTATTTGCTAATTTTGTTTACAAATGTTTGGTTTTTATTCTAAGATAAGCACGGTTTCTTAATATCAATTATTGTCTGTCAATAAGGTCGAACGCTCTGAACGCATCAACAGCCAAATATTGAATGAAGCTCGCTTTCTTTTTTTTTTGTTTCCTCCCAGGCGGGCGAGCGGGTGTGAAATCCTTATGGATACCCTTCAGCCGGCTCTAGGGTTATATCAGTCTCTTACTGACTAAAACACACCCGTGGGGGATGCCTATGGCCTAAGGGCCATACAGGCTTCATCTGATGCGATCAACCCCTGAGAAGGGGATGATGCAGCGCTGCCTCAGTAAATACTACTGCATAGTGCGCTTAGAGGACGGATGCACTCTGATGTGCATCCGTATCGGTTTAAGACAGAGCGACTGAAAGTCTCTCAGGATCGGGGGGGCGGGGAAGCTCGCTTTCGGACCTCCCGCCTTTTTATACCCTACCGCCGCCGCCGCGACCCGTGTCGAGCGCGGCAACCGTTACACAAAAATAATCCTTATAGCATGATTCAGTATTCACGTGCGACGGCGCGATGGCTTATTTCATGTATAAGTTTGTGTTTCTATACCGATTTCTATGATTCTCTTTTTATTGGATAGGTAATAATGTTAACTTTTTTAAATTTGGGATGAGTGAGAGTATTATAAACGGAAGAGTAAACAAATATAATCAGAATGCTCCGAACTGCTAAGCTATCAGGAGTTACACGTGTTATTGTGAGTCAACCATAAAAGATAGACATATGCTGTTGCGGGATATTTTTTAGAAAATTTTATGTAGAATATTTCTGTCATACACGATTTCTATGTAACTTTAATCATTAAGGCTGCACACGCGACGGAAGCTTAAAAAATGGAGTAACTTCTCCCGTTTTCCCAACATTTCCCTTCACTACTCCGCTCCTATTGATTGTAGCGTGATGAAAAGTATACTATAACCTGCCCAGGAGTATGAAGAATAATTGTACCAAGTTTCGTTAAAATCCGTCTAGTAGTTTTTGTTTCTATAAGGAACATACACACAGACAGACAGACAGACATACAAAAATTTTACTGATTGCATTTTTGGCATCAGTATCGATCACTAAGCACCCCCTGATAGTTATTTTGAAAATATATTTCATGTACAGAATTGACCTCTCTACAAATTTATTATAAGTATAGATAGACGATATAGCATCTCATTTCATCGGCCTTAACGATCGTCTTTTTTCAAAATATGTTAACCCTGTACGATGGTAAGGTGCCTTTAGTATGAGCGCCCATTTTCTTTATAGAATTGTATGAATATAAAAATATTATTATGCTTATGTAATAGACTATTGTTACCATTATTTAAATATTCTCTAGTGTAAAAATTTCACAGTCCCATTATATTATAATTATAAATCCCCAGAGGTAATTGTTGCGCTGATGCGGAAAGTTACGCAAGCAACCACGCGTTTTGTTATGCAGCAGTTGTAATTATCAGATGTTCTATATTCTGCTCAATATAATGTTATATGTGTGTGAATGAAAGGTATTTTGAAGGTCTCGGGCTTTTGTGTGTTCTCATTAGCCACTCGCCTCGACTCCGCACGTGTGCTATTTGCATTTTACTTATGAAGGAAATTAGAAGTTTTTATGATTTTCCAATAATCTTCGATCATACATTACAAACCTTATTCCTAACAATTAAGAACATCAACGCAGTAGCTGTTTACATTAAAGCAATTAATGAATTGAAAGAAATATTTTTATTTTTAAGCATTTTACTGCTAAATGTTTAAATCTAATGATAATTTACTAGAAAAAAAACCACGCGAACCAGCCCAGCCCCGTCTGCTGCCTGGTCATTTGCCTGCCTAGCTATAAAAAAATATATAAAAAGAAAGAAAACAATCCTCTTGGCCTTCTTTTTAGACGGAGGCGGGGTCGACAGCGCAGAAGTACGCCGTAATGGTGTACATTCACGGGGGTCAGTTCTCGTCGGGCGCGTCCAATCTGTTCCCGGCACATATTCTGGCGGGGTTCTACGACGTGGTGGTTGTCTCCTTCAACTACCGCTTGGGGGCGCTAGGTAAGGTTCTACACTATCTATTATTTACAAAAGTCCAATACCCAAATATTTATACTGTATGACACAGCTATCAAAATGTGAGTGGACGTTGGTATAATTAGTAGTAGAATATATTGGAAGCGACCTAGCGACATGATTTTATGTAAATGTTGCAATTTCTGTTAAATACTGATGATCTTGTGGCGGCGACATCTACATGCCCCACATATAATGAACATAGAGGAAATAGTCACTCGCCTCCCTAAGAGATGACGCTACCGGCGCTGCGTTCACAACGTATGGAAGCCTACATCGCGCAAGAGAAATTCGGAGCCAAACACTCCATATATACGATGCCCGACCAACATCAGTTGGGCCGCGGCCCCCGAGCTACCATCACCCAGCTCGGAGGAAGATCTTGCCCTTTGGCATTCCTACAATCTCTTGCGCCTATTCTTGTCATCAGCTAAAAGATGTTCTTAATGGGTAGAAGGAAAACATATTGGACGATTCAAAAGAACTTACAATCAGTCATTTTGAATAAAGTATCATTTTATTTGGAAAATGATACATGATATGCTGTTTCTAAACATGTTTTTAAATGTAAAAACGCTCGTAGAGCTTTAATCTTAGTTTTTAAATGGTCTTCTATTTCATGGTATCTACCCATAGTATAAAGCGCTAATTATCCCCCAAAAAAGAGCTATTCCTAACTCGGGTAAATTAATAAAATTCAAACTACACCTTCGTTGCCAACTCGGGTGTGTTAAGGCGACATAGACTCCCTCGTTGGTAATTGGGCACTATCTCCCTTCGGTGAACTATTATTATATATTTTTTTATCAAATTCAACAGGTTTTCTCTCCACCGGCGACGAGAACTCCCCCGGCAACTACGGCATTCTAGATCAAGTGATGGCAGTTCGTTGGGTCCATGAAAACATCGATGCGTTCAACGGCGACCGCCACTCGATCACGTTGTTCGGTCCCGGCGCCGGCGCAGCTTCGGCGGGACTGCTCGCCTTAGCCCCGCCTACTAGAGACATCGTCACTAAGGTCATCGCCCAAGTGAGTTCTTTAAACTTCGTCATTGTCGGCCTATTTTATTAATGATCACTTTTTTCGACACCGGCGCCAGCGCAGCTTCGGCCGGGCTGCTTGCCTTAGGGACATTGTCACTAAAGGCATCGCGCAAGTGAGTTCTTCAAACCTCATCATTGTCATTAGCCTAGTAATGAATACGTTGTTCGGCCCTATCACCGGCGCAGCCTCGGCGGGACTGCTCGCCATGATGGCGCAAGTGGTTAGCGCGTTCGGCTGCGATCGTTGAAGTTAAGCAACTTTGAATAAGTGACCAAAAATTTACTATCTCGAACTCCTCCGTGCTTCGGAAGGAACGTTAAGAGGCCTTTAACATTTTTTGCAAAAAATCGTTATTTTTGAGCGCCTCGTTTACCCCCTTAGAAAAGATTTTGACTGTTTCCGATAAGTTAATTTAGAATATTTTCGAATACTATTTTCCTTTTTTTGTACTGATCGTTCTACCGCAGCTAGTTTAGGGAAAAAAGGATACTATCAAAAACTTTCATAAAACTTATTTACAGTCTTTAAATTACTGAAATATGTATAAATTTTTATAATTAGTTCATTAATGAATATTTTATAAGACTCGAAACATCACCCGTAAAATGCAATATATACTAGTACAAATCTACCTACGCGCCGATCAGTACGGCAGCGGCGCAATTTTGTAAAAGGGCTCTTAAGCCGTTGGTCCCGGCTGTCTCTGAAGTCGTTAGCACATACCAATCCGCACTGGGCCAGCGTGGTGGGTCATAGCCCAATCTCTTTATTCCATCCATAAAGAAGGCCTGTGCCCCAGCAGTGGGGACATTAATAGGCTGGTGAAGATGATGCTGTGGTGACAGATGACCTTTACAGCGGGTTTACCTTCACCGGGTTTGGGGACAGCGAGATCCTAAAGGCAGGGCTCTAGAGGTATTCCAGTTGGATGTCATCTCCCCAGGGGGGAGTCTCCTCTCTGTCTGGTGCCTCTAGACCACTCGAACCTGACTCGGTCGGCTCAACTAGAGGGTGTCTTTGAGACTCGGACCTCGGCTCTACTTAGCCGTTGTCGTGGGGGTCTTACGTTCACTGTCCACATTGCGGTGCGTTGATATTACGTGCAAACCTGGTCATAAATTTGCAACGTTACCGGCACCGTTTCGCGATGACGACGTCGTTACGTGGAAACGTCGAAAAAAAATAGAGATAGTAAATTAAATCTAGTTCTGACGACGCAGCCTGAAAATATGCGAAACGTCAATAAATAAATATATAATTTTGCGTTTGTTTCAGAGCGGCTCGGCACTCGCCGATTGGGCGATGATAGAAGATAAATTCCGCGTCCAGAACACTACGATCCTGCTGGGCCGCCACCTGGGCTGCCCCACTGACTCCTCGTGGAAGCTGGTCAACTGTCTGCGCCAGAGCCGCAGTATATACGACCTGGGCAACGCGCAAGTATCGGTAATTAACCACCTTTCCTTGTTATATTGTTTGACGACCTCCGTGGCCGAGTGGTTTGTACGTCGGGTTCAAATCAAATTAAATCAAATCATCTTTATTGCGAATACAGGTTACCAAGTTGTTACACAGATACAATTTTAGTACAGTACAGCCATATTCTGCCTTATCGGCATGCAATCTTTATATATATAATTCTTCTGTGAGTGTGTATGTCACTGAACTTCTCTTAAACGACTGGACCGATTTTGATGAAATTTTTTGTGTGTGTTCAAGGGGATCTGAGAATGGTTTAGATTCACAATTTTGTCCGCTGGACAACCCCAATTTTTTAGGGCTGTACGAAGTTCGCTGGGTCAGCTAATATTTCTATAAAACATTAATCATTTCAATGTCATATTAATAAATTCAACATAGTTTATTCAAAATGTCAATAAGCGATAAATATAAGATTGGAATTATTTCATGCATGTCATTTTCTATACTTAGTCTAAAAACTTTTGTCTTCCAAAAATTCACGGGCCGTATAGTAAAATTTTTCTATTAAAAAATATTGTAATTTGTTTTTAAATATATTGGTTACGATAATTTCACGCAGACTTTCAATTAATTTACTATAAATATAAGGAGCATTGCAAAACACACTTTTCCTAAATAGTACCGTATTACAGGGGACTACACAAAGTTTTCCAATATGACGTTCACGAGTTCTGGCCTAAAATATTTTAATATTACTTTTTACAAAGACAGCGCATTCAAAAATGTAAAGGCACGGCAGAGTCAATATTTTTAACCAATAAAAAAACGGTGCACATGATTCTTTAGGTGGTAGATTAAACATAGCTCTGATGCATCTCTTTTGCACCCTGAATGCAGTGGTTGCGTCAGTAGAATTTCTCCAAAAGATCAATCCATATCGTAATGTCGGCGCCGTTTCCCATAATACGCTGTCAACAAAGTCACTTTTCGTAAGTTATATAAGGTTCAGGTGCGTTCTTCCCTAACCGACTGTGAAGTAAAACAGGTCTATCAATATATGCCAGCCTTTGGGTTCGTCATCGAACATAGGCCTCTTCTTCTGTCCCCGGCCACTCGCATCCAGTTAATTCCAGCCTGTTGCCGGATATCATTTGACCATCTCTTATGTGGTCCTCCGCCGCGGGTGTCATTACGGGTTCTCCAATCTAGGGTCTTTCTACCCCAGCGATCGTGGTTCATCCGTGCAATGTGTCCTGTCTCTCTCCATTCATCTCTCACTTTCTTCCACCACGTCGCTGACCCCTTCTTCTTCAATCCTTCGTCCTTTCTCTAATCCACTCATTCCTCCTGTAATCTGCCATCAGTTTTACTCAGCTAACTTGAACTTATTATGGGCTTACCTATCTGTTTCTCTCTGTCACACATGGATATACAGTTTTTTGACGACCTCCGTGGCCGTGTGATTTGTACGCCGGGTTTCAAGGTGTTGCCTACTCAAATCCCGGTGGGGGTAGTTGTTTTTGTGATAAATGAGCGTTTGTACTCCAGTCATGGGTGTTTAATATGTATTTTATATAAATATCTTTATATATATAATTCTTCTGTGAGTGTGTATGTCACTGAACTTCTCTTAAACGACTGGACCGATTTTGATGAAATTTTTTGTGTGTGTTCAAGGGGATCTGAGAATGGTTTAGATTCACAATTTTGTCCGCTGGACAATGTTTTTTTAATTAATTTTTTTTATGGCGGTACGAAGTTCGCTGGGTCAGCTAGTATTTATATATGTACAGTATATGTATTCTATCCGTTACCCTGGTATCCCATAACGCATGCCTTACAGTGCTTACTTTGGGGCTAGGCTTATTGGTGTGAGTGTTGGAAATATTTATTTATTTAATTGATTTCACATTTCTGATTACAGTCGTTAGGGATTGTATTGTTATCATTGTTTTAGCCGCAAGTCGGTCTGATCCCGTTCGGTCCGGTACTCGAGAACAACTTCACGTTCCCCGGCGACCAGTGGTATGAAGGTTGGCGCGAAAGAGACTGGCACTTCCTAGACGTAATGCCTGAAGAGCTTATAAAGAGGAGGCAGTTCAATCCATCGCTGCGGTATATGACGGGAGTGACGACACAAGAAGCGGCATACTATATCTGTGAGTAATGGCTCAATGAGGGCAATCCATAGAGATAGAAGAATAGAATGGGGGAAACGTAGCTAAAAGTGCCCGTCTAATAGAAAGAGAAAGAAAATGAGAGACCGCTAGCTATCTCTCTCTCTCTCTCTCTTTCTCTCTCTCTCTCTTGTGACGCATGCGCAGTCGTCTGTCCAATAATAGTTGGTCCAAGCATCGCATCGAAATAGTAAGATGCTTACGGTTGCCAATGCCTATGCGCGATTAGAGAGAGAAAGCTAGCGGTCTCTCATCTTCTTTCTCTTTCTATTAGAGGGACACTTCCACTTGTAGTAGAGTCTTTATCTGCCCTACTCTATTCTTATAGCTCTATGGATCAATCACGTATGAATCCGCCGCTAGAGGCGCTTGTGTAGCATGAAGTCGCCGAAATGTCAAATGCTTGTAGGTTGTCTACGCGGGTTTATTTCTAATTAAAATAATATTGTCAATATTTGTTAATAACCCAGATGAAGTAAAGCAAATATGAGTTACGTTTCAATGAATGCCAATGGTTTGAAAGCGGAGGTAAGAAAAAAATATTATATCCTTCTTTAATTCCGAACAAAACGGAATTGCGCAATACTGTGGCATGATCGATTATGTTTAGGATACAGCCCTTTTGTATTAAATATGATTAAAATGTTAACTTTGCTTTCACTTGTGTATTAGCAAACTTTAAAAGCTACTCTTCAGAACCTCACTCAACAGTGGCGCCATCTGGTAAAACAAAAAACGGTAGCCCTCAGTACATTTGGTCGTTAGCTCGTTTTCGGGTGCACGAAAGCCATTTCTGAAATTCGGGCAACCGAAGCAATATTTACACTGGAATACGGTGTCGGTTAACCAAAACAAAAACTACCTTATTACGGGCGTACTCGACTCCGTTTATTTACACTTACCGATACCCAAATTCCATTGGCACTCGTATTCGGGCTAAAAACCAAGTGTAATATCACCATAAAGATGTGAAGTTTTTTTATTTAAAATTGTCGTGTAAAAAATGAGTATTGGTTGCGAGAATGTGGCATGTAAAGGCAGTACTGATCCACAATAAAATGTAACTAATGTAAAGCTGTTTAAAACAACACAAAAAGCATTATTCTGATTCTATTTTGGTCAGCAAATTGTCTGGCCACAATAAAAACTAAAGTCATCATAACCTCCTTTAATTTTCTGTGTTATTTTAAGTATCATAAACAGCTAGCAATTTCGTAAGATCCTTACAAAGCTATTTGTTGGTTCCAAAGTCAGCAAAAGCCAACCAAGTTTCTATCATCAAAGACTGACATATTATTCACTTCTAATCGCTTACACTAATGTCACTACCAGGTTCACACGAAGCGATTTAAATCGATTATTTTTATTGTCAAGTTACTTTTCTTCAATTAATTTGCTTCAATTTGATTGAAAGTTTGTTCAATAGTTCAGACAGTTCAAATCGCTTGCGATGTAACAGTTGATCAACTAAAATCGTGTCGTGTGAACCCGGTATTACTGACAGATTGGCCGATAATTCAAATTAAAGGACATTGCTCGTTCCCCATACATTGAATGCCCTAGAACGCCCAGCAATGAGAAAATGCTAGTTGTGTTCGGAATCATTCATAAACTCTAATTAAGCATTTGTTGAGATACGGACAACTTGAGGAACCGTGGCCTACTACAGAATGTATTAGATTTTGAGACAATCCACAGCGATCTTTTAATGTATCCACTGTAAGAGTTCATCCCTTCCCTTATGATAGAAATAGGGAGATTGTGCCAAGATCCACCACGAGCCTAGTGCAAATTGTTGGTTGCCAAAGACTGCAGATGTAGCCGGGACCAACAGCTTAACGTTCCTTCCGAAGCACGAATAGCACGATGATTAATTTTGGTTACCCATCTTATGTCCAGTCCTTGCAAAAGTTGCTTGAATGCTAATATCGTTAGTGCATCAAACAGTGTAAAAAAATAGGTCTCAGTATTTTGCAAGATGGGACTAAATATATTTAGTGCTTGTATTCAATATTATTGCATACATGATAACAATTAAAATGACTGTTAAAATAACAGTTCTACAGTACAAACAGCCAAAGATCCAGTTACTCAAAACTAAACAAATTTTACAGGACAGGATCCTTTCCAATAGAATTTTTCTAGATATATTTTCCTTAAATTTACAAATTAATCAATTTTGGGTAAATTAGATACCCAAAATTGACAAATGTCCCCAAATGACCTTGAGAGTTATAGCTAGAAATCGGATAATCTAATGCATATTTACCTAAAGTTATTTTATGGCTTACATATTATGGAAGTGGCTTCTTCGGATATTTTTATTCAAAATAAAATGCCAGGACTCCGGGATCGCTCAACTAATCGGATATATATTTACTTAAAGTTTGGTTTCCCAGTCGAGTGTGTGTAACAACATATAAATGAATATAAATAGGTTTATTCATTAAGGACATCTTACACAATATTTTTGTTATACACAAAGTTGCCCTAACTGTATTTGTGTCAATCTGGGTTTATTAGATCTCACGAAGTATACACTTCAATTTTTATTTCCCGGAATTGTGGGTTTTTTTCGATATAAAGGTCCATAATAGCCAACATTTCAACTTTAGGTAAATATGCATTCGATTATCCGATCTCTAGTTAGAGCACTTGTTAAACATTTCACAGTCCATTCTGGAAATTTATCAATTTGTAGCAAATTCATATCTTGTACTATATACTATCTTGTTTCTATAGATATACTATAATTATAATAAATAATTTTGATGGATTCTTTTAACACTACCTTTTTAAGATCTTTGCTTTAATTCTTCGGTTGACTGGTAGAGAATGCCTAATGGCATTAAATCCGCCACTTGTACACTCATTTGTGCAATAAAGTGTAAATAAATATTTCGTTTTATTGGTCAGATAACAACGATACGCTCGCTCCCCGATACGAAATCAACGAGGATTGGTTCAACCAGAAAGTGGCAGAGTTGGTCCTCCGATACAATTATACGTTAAATCCACGAGGCGTATACGAAGCCGTACGATACATGTACACTTATCACCCAGACCCGCACAACGTGAGCGCCATAAGGGACCAATACATTCATGTGAGTCACCATAATTATATTGCTAAAATGGTTCCGAATTTAAAAGGAATGTTTCACTACCCTCCTTAGATTAAAACAAAAAAGGAAGATACGGTACGCTCATACTAGCATCAAATAAAATACAATCCGACTTTACTAATAAGCAACTCTCACACACGCACACTTCTGTAAATAAACATTCAATCGAGCGAGCGAGACAGAGCTGTATGCTTTAACGCAGCGCTAGCAAAACGGCGCGAGTCCGCGTCATGACCTGTGTTGTTGTCCTTTTCTTGGTAAAAAGGCGATTTTTGAGAAAAAAATGTTTTTATAGTTTTACGAATGAAAAGTCTTGCTGTAGCATTTGTTATTTGATTTTGAACTAGTTGTGTTATTTATAAAAGCATCGAAGGCATTGTTTTATCTTTATAACACGGAATATACGCAATATTGTTGTACTCAGTGCACATGCAGCGTGTTTGAATGTCCGCTTGTGACTAAAGCGAATTGTGGTCATGCACCACAATTAAAGCGGATCACTTTCGAGTCGCGAGGGTCGTATCTTCCTTTTTTTTGTTTTAATCTAAGCTAGCCTCCCTTAGTAACACTTTTTCTGTAAAATAACCCCAAGACAATAAATGAATATTATTGAAATTGTATTATTTTAAGATTGACATTCCGTTTTCTAGTTAAGAAATCAATGATTACGAAAATAATTTAATTATCCACTAAATAAAATACTAAAGAAGAAAGTAAACTTACTTACAAGCAAACCAAATAAAATACTTATTCAATAATAGCCTTGTTGCACTCTTGACACTTAAACTTTTCTTATCTCGCTTTTAAGCTTTATCTTTCTTAATATAAGATTCACAATCTTGGTAAAAAAATGACTTACTGTATGTACTACTTCGTACTACGTGTTGCTGTCTTTAAACCCGTAATTTAATTCCAGCTGCTATCCGATTTTCTTTACCGAGCGCCTACGGACAAAATGGTAAAGCTATTACTAGAACAGAACGTACCAGTTTATATGTACGTATTGAATACAACCGTAGAAGCATACAATTGGACTGAGTGGCGATTGTACCCGCACGATGCGGAGAGGATATTTCTCACTGGTGCTCCGTTTATGGACCAGGAGTTCTTCCCGTTGAAACAGAGGATTGACAGGCAAATGTGGACCCCCAACGACCGCAATATGAGCCATTTCTTTATGAAGGCGTATTCCGACTTCGCTAGATTCGGGTGAGTATGAATTTAGCTTGTGGAATTTGTATGTTTGTAATCACACTTATATTATAAAGGGGAAAGTTTGTGAGTGTGCATGTATGTTACTTCTTCACGTCTAAACGGCTAGAGCGATTTTAATAAAATTTGGTATGGAGTTAGCTGACACCCTGGATTAACACATAGGCTACGTTTTACTGCGGGAAAATATCCCTAATAAACCGCGGGTAACACAGCGAGGCACAGCTAGTTTAGAATGTGATTAACTATCCAACAATTATCCAAACAGAGAGCAATTGTTTAAGTTTTACATGTTTCGAAGGCTAAAATCAATGTGATGGTAGCACAGAAGGAGGTTAGGGTTATCAGGCATTGTCCTAATACAGCGCGATGACGCGATCATCGCGCGTTTAAACGATACGACCATCGCGTGATCGCGAACTAGGTGTCCTAATAGAACGCGAATACCCGCGGATGTCATTGCGGGGTCCCCACTCTAGGGTCTTTCTGGCCCTTGCGCGGACATTCGGCAACGGTTGCCGTGACCACACCCGCACTTCCGGCGTGCATTGGGGGGACTGCGGTCTTCAGAATGAACGCCGGGTGACTGGTGCAGGAGTATTGTCTGGTTTTTAGTGGCCCTGTTCATGGCGTTAGGTAGGGCCCTACTCATTTCACCCGGCCCACCCAAGGGCTGGCTGTAATAAGCAGGGAGGAGTCCCACATACCTTCTTCTCGCTCCCCCGGTGGTTGAAGTATGCGTAAGGCATTTCCAAGACAAAAAAAGGGTCTTTCTAGCCCAGCGATCGTGGTTCATCTGAGCAATGTGTCCTGTCCATCTCCATTACGTCTCTCAATCTCTTCCACCCATGTCCTTTCTCTGATCCACTCATTTCTCCTGTGATCTTGAACTTATTATGGGCCTCCATATCTGTTTCTCTCTGTCACACTTGGATATACACTATTTTGACGACTTCCGTGGCCGAGTGGTTTGTACGCCAGGTTTCAAGGTGTTGCCTACTCGAGAGGTCCCGGGTTCGAACCCCGGTGGGGGTAGATGTTTGTGTGATAAATACGAGCATTTGTACTCCAGTCATGGATGTTTAATATGTATTTCTATATAAATATATCAGTGTATGTATCAGTATATGTATTCTATCCATTACCCTAGCATCCTATACCACAAGCCTACAGTGCTTTCTTTGGGTTTAGGCAAATTAGTGTGAGTGTAGGAAATATTTATTATTTATTTATTTATATGTGAAAAGAACCGATGTCCGTAGTTTATGTATTATTTATTTTTGTCTCTTTCCAGAGAGTCTTTGTGAGAGTATTTCATATGTCCCTGGTCTTAACATATAAGTTAACAATATCCACTTTTACGGCAGAAATCCGACTCGTTCGCGTATTCTGGGAATTCATTTCGAAGAAGCAAAAGCGGGCCAGCTGCGATACCTGAATCTGAACACCACCTTCAACTCCAGTATACAGCTCAATTACAGACAAACGGAACTCGCCTTCTGGACCATGTATTTACCAACGGTTATAGGAAGACTTGTGCCCACATACCCTCCCATCACTGAGGTAAGTACATCATCATCATCATCAGCCTATTAATGTCCCCACTGCAGGGGCACAGGCCTTCCCTATGGATGGAATAAGGAGTTTGGGCCTAGACCGACCACGCCGACTCAGTGCGGATTGGTAACGACTGCAAATGCAACCGCAGGAGGAGTTCGAGATAGTAAATTTTTGGTCACCCATCCAATGACCGACCACTGCGAAGGTTGCTTAACTCCAACGATCGCAGCCGAACGCGCTAACCACTTGCACCATCGAGCTCCTAAGTACAATCCCATCAAAAAATTAATGTGAAAAGAAAGCCAAGTTCAATATTATGATATATGTCTCCGTGGTGATATCAACGACAAAAGAAGTGAGATCTAAATGGGTGCCAAGTTCAATGGTCAGTGCTATAAAATATATTTTCTTCTTATAACTGAGGATAATCCATTGAAAACTAAAGTCCGACTTGGCTAGTCTTCAGATGAAAAAAAAAAACAAAAAAAAAATACACAAAGAAAGGAATGCTGAATAAGTCGTCAAAGTAGGCGTCTTCAAGACTGTCATTTTATAGAGAACCAACACTAACAAAAAAATAATATGTTTTGTTACAATATTGTCGATTTTGACACGATTCTCTTAACTTAAAACTAAATTTTAGATCAGTCTCTCCTTTTCATTCTGTATAGAAAAAGACAAGGATACACTGTTGTCAAATTTAATTTTAGGTTAAGGGAATCATGCCAGAATCGACACCAATATTGCGTTTATCGTTGTGGTGTTTTTATTTAGTTAAAAATGTCCTGAATGGGTTGGTGGGAAAAAAAAAATAATTTAGACGATCGAAACAGTTATTACGCCTTGGATTTAACCCCTCGTTTGTGTAAGTGGATGATTTCTGCCACAAGTAAGAAAATTATTTTCATATTTTGCGTTTTATCATATTTAGTAATGGTTTTTAATTTACACATTTAATATAAAGATAAGTTACTAGAGAAAATATTCAGGATTGATTTTTTTTAAGACATAAAGCCTGGATGTACAGTAGAACTCAAATAATAGGAGGATTTTTCTTCCGGCCGTGAAAAATACAATTGAGTGGCGCACAGACCAGGGGTTAAATATACAAGTTTTGACCTTGCCTTTGTAACTATGTCGTCTGTTGCTCTTAGTATTGGTGGGAGCCGAAGCAACCTCTACAAATTGCCTTCTGGTCGGTGTCCAGCGCATGCCTGGTGCTCATTGTACTTCTCGTGGTGTGCTGTATGCTGTGGCGGAATGCCAAACGGTATGTACTCACGTCTAAAATTCTATATTAGGGCCCACTTGCAGGAATATCGCTAAATCCCGATTGAACAAAGCCTAGATTTAACCCATACATGGGTAACTTCTAGTTAAATCGAGATATAGCACTTGCAGCAATATCGCTAAATCCCGATTGAACAAAGCCTAGATTTAACCCATATATGGATAACTTCTAGTTAAATCAAGATATAGCACTTGCAGCAATATCGTTAAATCCCGATTGAACAAAGCTTAGATTTAACCCATACCCAGTAAGTTCTAGTTAAATCGAGATATAGCACTAAGGCCCACTGCAGAAAAAAATGCTTAATCTCGATTTAACTAGAACTTGATTTAGCCCAAACAAATTGTCAAAACATGAATGTCAATTCTTGTATGGGATAAATCTAGGTTTAGTTCATTCTAGATTTAGCGAAATAGCTGTAAGTGGACTTAATATTAAAAAGAAGAAGGATTTGCCTTGAAGTGTGACACTTTACCCCCAGGGTGACATTTAACGACACGGCCGTTGGCGTATAAAAACAAGGAGACTTACAAGCGCGCTCAAAAGTGTCGGAAGGAAAATTACGCACATGCATCTATTGTGCGTAGTTTTCAAACAGTCGTGTCTGGTCAAAGTGTTCGTGTTAAGAACTTTTTTAAAAAATAAAAACCGACTTCATGGTACAAAACCACTGAAAAGTAAGAAATAATGCATATTCTTTATTTATATAAAGTCAAATTAACGTTTTGGAGTCGGTTTATTTCCTGAGACACAGGATCCATCCCAGTTCAGGTGTCAACCCACCATAGTCTGAACAATATTTGTTTTTTTCTTTTGTAAAATAAAATGTTTTTATTTCATTGTTTTTATGTAGCCATTAATATTTACCTACATTGTGAACATTGTGATTATAGTGACAAATAAAGGTTATAATTAATTGACATTGAACCTTATGGCCACGACATAATGTGTTTATTTAAACAAATGTGTTAATGTTATATGTATAATGTATACACAACGCTGACTACGCTAGGAAGTTTTTTGCTGCGCTTTCGTCAGACAATTGGGAGTCTACTCATTTTTATGCGTCAATGATCCCGTTATCATATTTTTTTTTGTTTTAAGATGAAATAATTTTAACGATAGTTCCTTCTTGCTTTCTCATATACGTTTGTCTCTTTCTTCGCCTTCATACTATATATTATATGAAATATTTTGTACTCGCCTTTATAACAATATAATATGTATATAATATAAAACTATACCTTTATAATAATACTTACCCTATCACTAACGTGAAACAAAGCTTTTTATTAAACTCATCATTCTTCGACAGGGCTGCGCCACCCAAATGGAAAATGGTACCGGCTGTGTAGGTGACATTAACAATATTAACATAAATTTGGCTTGTTAGATGCTTCTTGTGATTTGCTTTATATTTAACCGCCCGCTTAAACTTTTCGTAAAAAATTATCTATTTGTGGTGAAAATCATATCAAAGCATGTTGCATGGTTTCAGAGGAATTTGCGGATATATAGACACAGAAAGTGACTTTATTTTATTCAATCGTCGTTCATTACAATTCCTGTAAATAATACTCCGTTTGCACTGTCTAGGTTTAATAAAGATAGTCGAACAGATGATCAGCTCAAAATAAGCTATGATTGCTCAGATGAAAACGGATTAAAACGAAACGTGATGAAGTCTGTAAAGGATTTGAACACGAGCTTACAACAGCTTGAGGTCTAGATCACAAATCTGACGTTTCACTCGTTTTTATACTCAGTGACATTTGTTTGACATCTGTCAACGTCAGATGACGTTGATTGTAACCAGTGCTGCTAACCCATTTGCAGAATACACCCAAATCAGTTCAGGTTTGACGTTCCGTTCAACAATCCACGGCATATTCTTGCTATGTTAACGGGGTTTGACGCTTAGGAACCAGTTTTTAGACTTACTGTGGCCACTATTCCTACACGAACAAAGAAATTTGGTGACTCATTTCTTTGTCGTACTATTCGTAAGTGGAATTCTTTACCCGCGCACGTGTTCCCTCCTTCCTATAATCTGGGGTCCTATAAGAGAGGCGTGAAGTAGCATTTTTGCAGGCCGCTATACCAGCTAACTTCGCGTTTGGACTTTATCACCACTTAACATCCGGTCAGGTAGAGTCATTTGCCTACCTCGCCATAAAAAAAAAAGTTCTTCATTGGTGTTTTTTTATTATTTATTTATTTATTATATTTGAAAGGATTCTCACGCATACTGGTTTTTTAGTTAGGTGATATTTCAAAGTAGGTTTTTATATTTATTGCATGCCTGAGAACAAAGACTTACATTAAAGCGATGCGGGGCGTCACTAATTATATTAATATTGTCGTGCAAGCTTTGCTTATTATGCAATTTTTATTGGCTTTCTGTAATTTTTATGTTATTGTCATCAACAGCGTATAATGTCCACACCTCTGGGGCACATTTTTTCCCTACGGCCCATCCATATAGGGTGAATGCCCATCGCCCACCATGCGGGCTTAATGCGAATTAGTGGATGCAATAAACTGCTGATGTGACTAACAGCTTAACGTCTAACTCGTAATCCTACCGATACACGGAGAGAGGATAGTAAGTTTTTCATCACTCATCCTGTGACCGGACATGTTGGTCACCCATCCGATGAACAACCATAGTTGCTTAACTTCTACGATCGCATACCCCTAAGTCATCAAGCTCCTTTACTATTTTTTTGCAATCGATTTATTGTGTAAATAAAGGATAAAAAAAATAGTTTCTAGTACTTAGTGAACTTTATAAATGAAAAGAAGCCAAAAAGATTGGCAACGATTGTTGAAATTGTCTTATGATAGTCGTTGTATAATTTGCATTAATAACACTTCTCTGACTTCCACGTGCACGAACACACAGTTCTATTATGCTGGGGCACAAGTCTTCCCTACGGAGGGAATAGGAAGATTGGGCTTTGACCTACCACATGAGCCCACTGCGGATTGGTGGGTACTCATGACTGCCGAACGTGCCTTCCGAAGCAAGGAGGAGCTTGAGACAATAAAATTTTTTTGGTCACCCATCCAATGACCGACCACTGCGAAAGCTGCTTAACTTCAACGATCGCAGCCGAATGCGCTAACCACTTACGCCATCAAGCTTTTTTTTTCTCACACCAATTAGCCTAGCCCCAAAGTAAGCACTTTAAGGTTTGTGTTATAGGATACAAGGGTAACGGATAGAATACATATACTGTACTTATATAAGTATATTCATATAGAAAAACATATAAAACATCCATGACTGGAGTACACATGCTCGTATTCATCACACAAACATCTGCCCCCACCGGGATTCGAACCCGGGACCTCTCGAGTCGGCGACACCATGAAACCCCGCGTACAAACCACTCGGCTACGGAGATCATCGCTTTAACCGGTTGTTTATCCATAATCACTATGGTTGTGGTGCAGTGAAACAGACCGGTACTACAGCGGGGACATCTTCATGGTGCCTGAGGACGTCATCGACCTATATAAGTATATTTATATAGAAATACATATTAAACATGACTGGAGTACAAATGCTCGTACTCATAACACAAACATCTGCCCCCACCGGGATTCGTCCCCGGGACCTCTCGAGTCGGCGACACCATGAAACCCCGCGTACAAACCACTCGGCCGAGATCTTTGCTTTAACCGGTTATTTATCCATAATCACTATGGTTGTGGTGCAGTGAAACGGACCGGTACTACAGCGGGGACATCTTCATGGTGCCGGAGGACGGAATCGACAATGCGACACGGTCGCGCGACAACATCTACGAATACAGGGACGTGCCCGTCAAACGACCGCACACGCCGCAGACTCTAACGCGGACCGTGAGTATTGATTGACTATAGTAAGGACAACACAAAATAGGGTACTTGACAACAGTATTAAAAATAAAGTGCCAAATGTCAGCATCTGTGTTAAGAATGAATATTGACAGAGGTTTTTACTATTTTTACAAAAAAAACCCACGAAAAAGATAATAGTTTTCTTATCTATTGTCACGTGATCCAAAACGCTTGGGATTGGCGGAGCCTAAAATGACGTCACACGCAAGTAAACTTCCGGTTAAAGTGACATTACATTGTATCGTTTGACGTTTTAATAACAGTCGTGTGACGTCACACACTAGTAGGACGCCTTATTGTCCAGAGAAACGTTTCCGCTGCAATTTGAAAATGGAGTTTTTGATTTGGTTATTTTTACTGAAATACACAACAGAATGATGAATATATTATATATTTTATGGACTCCATAAACATTAGTCAATAACGTGAGATCGTTTTCTAAAACTTGTCAAATACCCTATTAAAAAAAACTGTAGGTTCACTCAATACAGTCTGCCTATGTAAAGGTGCCATTCCGAGATGGGCTGCAGGCCGCAAACTGCAGCGAATCACTTGTTTCTATAATTTTCTATGAAATTGATTCCGAACGCGGCAGCAGCACGTAGCGAACACAGCACAGACTCGAGTGAATTAGGCATTGTTCCATGCATAATGCAGTCGCGGCATCTCGCCGTACTTGGAAAAGTATAGTTACTTTAGTATGGCGACACCGTGGTCGACCGCTGTCGCTAACCGCAGTGTCGCCTGCGGTTGCAGTCTGCCGCCCCTCTCGGGATTGTACCTTTAAGCACTTACACTATTCCCTTATCTAATTCCTTTTGTCTCCAATTTCCATTGCCTCCCTCGATTCCTCCATCCCCTTTTCTTCCTCCGTGCACTTCTCCGTAACACTTTCCTCTCCGTCTCCTCTCTCAACTCCGTTTCTTCCGTCTACTTGTCATCCAATTCCATCTTCCACTGGTCTTCATAACACCTTATCATAAGGAGGATTGGGTTCTATAAGGACCAGGGGAAGGTAACGGTAGGGATCGTTTGTACAAAACGTGACGCGCTATTAACCTTACAAGCGACTCAACCCAAACGCTGCAATCGCGGCTGTAACCCTCTTCTCCATCCATTTCTTTCTTTCTTTGGTCCCCATTACAACTACTTCTCCCTACCATTTACACAAAACGTGATGTGCTATTTATATTACAGACGAGTTAACTTCAAACGCTGCAATCGCAGCTGTAACCCGCTAGTCCTTCCGTCCGCTTCTCTCCCATTTCCTTCTTTCCTTGGTCCCCATAATACCCACTTCTTCCTACTATTTATGCAAAATGTGATGCGCTATTAATAACCTCAAACGCTGCAATCGCAGCTGTAACCTCCTAGTCCTGCCGTCTGCTTCTCTTCCATTTCCTTCTTTCCTTGGTCCCCATAATACCCTCTTCTTCCTACCATTTATGCAAAATGTGGCGCGCTATTAATAACTTCAAACGCTGCAATCGCAGCTGTAACCTCCTAGTCCTACCGTCTGCTTCTCTCCCATTGCCATCTTTCTTTGCTCCCCATAATACCCACTTCTTCCTACCATTTATGCAGAATGGTGACGCGCTTTTAATCTTACAGACGAGTCAACCCCAAACGCTGCAATCGCGGCCGTCTTCCCAAGCGTCCACAGGCTCAGCGCTATCTCTCAAAGAAGGCGCAGTATCCCGCGCTCCCGAACCTTTACCAAGAACCAGGTCTCGGACGCAGATAGTGCGTGGAGTACCGCAGACTACTGTGTGATGTGATAAGTGTTTAAATTACTTGCATGTGTTCCGCTCTTTCGTAGCAGTCGAAATAGTCCAGTCAAATTACGGAATCAAATAAACATGAGCGAACACAGTTTAGGGATTTTGAGGATCGTTAGGGGGGTGCATCCTGAGCTTAAGTTCCAATTTGAGGGGCTGTACTGAGGTCAGCTCAAGGTCATTTCGATGCAAACGCGTTTAATTCGATATCTCGAGAAATATCAGTGTTAGCCAAAAAATTATAGAGACCTTTTTTCTTCTAAATGAAATTTATTAACTTTTTTTTGTAACATCAATATTTTTTAAGTTATTACTCCCGCAAGGCAAAAATTTCATTTTTTTCCCTATTTTTCGTCGTTTTCTCCCCAAACATTCAATTTTATTGAATTTTACCGATCATCAACGTGTATATCTTTTAATTATGCACAATTTTGTTCTTAAACATTTTTTCTGTAACTTCAATACCTTCGGAGTTATATATTATTTTACCGAGCGAAATCCACGCCACTGTCGCAATATAAAAGGGTAAATCGATTAAACTATTTAAAAATTGGGTATTTAATTTGGGTAAATTTATGGGTTTGTTTGGGTAACAAGTAAATTAACAATTAAAACTGTTTCACACATTTATTGATACAAAAAATAGGTTATAAAATTCGGAAAATTAAGCACCCGAGGTCGAATAACTCCGAAGGTATTGAAGTTACAGAAAAAAGTTTAAGAACAAAATTGTGCATAATTAAAAGATATACACGTTGATGATCGGTAAAATTCAATAAAATTGAATGTTTGGGGAGAAAACGACGAAAAATAGGGAAAAAAATGAAATTTTTGCCTTGCGGGAGTAATAACTTAAAAAATATTGATGTTACAAAAAAAAGTTTTAAATAAAAAAGTTAATAAATTTCATTTAAAAGAAAAAAGGTCTCTATAATTTTTTGGCTAACACTGATATTTCTCGAGATATCGAATTAAACGCGTTTGCATCGAAATGACCTTGAGCTGACCTGAGTACAGCCCCTCAAATTGGAACTTAAGCTCAGGATGCACCCCCCTATCGATCCTCAAAATCCCCAAACTGTGCTCGCTCATGTTTTTTTAGCCCTTTTTTTCCGTAATTTGACTGGATTAAAATAGTATTAAAAAATCAAACGAGAAAACAACTGCGTGCTTGGAAAATTCTGTCATTCTACATACACATCGCTGTATAGATTGCCGAAGTACCACTGTTTAGAGAGATTGTTTACAATAACAAGCAGTCAAGGACTAAACTCGATATATTTTTTGCTTAACACAACTAGGGTTGCCAGATCGCTAAACCTAATAGCCGGATAGACCAGCCAGTTTGGCCGGAAATTTGGGTAAAATAAGGATTTTGTGGCTTAGTAATATTAGGTACGACAAAAAAAATGTAAAAGCGATAAAAAGTCTTTGCTTGCGCTCGGCGCGCTCGTTTGCGAAATATAAAATGCTGAGCAAGCCAGACACCGTTTATTTTGGCCGGATTTGCCTAACTATGTACGGCTTTATCCGGACTCCTGGCTACGCTAAACACGACCAACAATGTATAAATTTTAATGATCTCGATGTTCCAGTTCCAAATGAAAAGTATTAGTGAATTAGTGATTTGGAACTTTGCAATATTCCATATTGCATATAACAAAGCTTTTAAATAATTACTTGAAATTTTACTGATTAAATTTACCCCCCACAATAGAAATAAAAAACAAATTTCGACAATTTGACGGGTCACCAAACCTTGTGCAAATCGTAGGTAATTCCTTCGTGTCCCCGTAGCATGAGCACCACAATTTTCATTTTATCACGTTTTTTATCTCATTTTACTGTCAAACTCCATAGTAATTTGACAATTGAACGTGATAATAACACGTTAATTATATCATATCGCGTTACTCATGCTAGGGGGGCTAGGCCCCACACCTCTAAATCCGGCCCTGACTATAAAATTCCAAGTATTATTAAGATTTCTACTGAGTAATTAGGTATATTATAGTGCCGTGTATTAACTGTTGACTGAATAAAGTGTCCATTTTTGTAATTAGGAGAATATCCAACATTAGTTGGGTAAAAACAAAGATTTTTTTAAATGCGTTTAAATATGAAATTGAATATATTCCCAGTATATTCATTTGTTTAATCCTGCTCTTATTATAAACGCTGGAAATATTTCATAACGCCGGGTAGGCTAAATTAATTGGGATGTACGTAGTATTACAATATTTTTTAAATATTAATGGTACAATGCAAATGCTGCCATTACCAGTTTCTTAATAACCAGACTGATTATTGCTTTAGTATTTAAAACATGCTTAAAATTAGATATAAAACTATAAAATTCAGCTTCGATTTAGTACATTACGCTCTTAATTTTAAGGTTCAATTCCCCTCTATTACTTCTAAGGTTTAAAGCAATTTTAAATTAATAGCATTTATTTCAGCCATTAAGGCATGAATTCAATCAAATCAAAATCTAAGAACATAGAGAAGACAACAAGGACATTAAAATATCTCTCACTAAGCAATAATTTTATATTTTAGTACATCAATTGAACTTAAATATGTTTTCATATTTAAATCTCCCTCTAACTATGAGATTATAAAAGTAGTTATACGTTTATAGCCTGCACAGACGAGGGACAATATTCCGCGGACTTGTTTGTCCAATAAAATAGACGCCAAGAGACCAGGGGGCTTAGACAAAGTAACAATTTAAAAACGATAACGAAGTTCGAAATTAATAAAATGTATGAAACTGACATAATCCGCGCTAAATCACGTGGTCAATCGTCATCGTCATCGAAAGTTACAATTCGCAACGAAACGTTAAAATAATAAATTGTTTGAACGCTTAATCCCATACAAATGCGTAGACAAGCTGCACTTTTGACGTTCGTCCTCGCTACCGTCGCGATCTTCGAAATCGTTAACGTAACGAATTTACAAGCACTTAAAGTTACCTGCAATTTATAAGCACCGCGATATGATATATAATGCGTTTTTATCACGCTCCATTGTCAAATTGCTATGAAGGTTGACAGTTAGACGCGATAAAATACGTGATATAATGTAAATTGTACTGCTCATGCTACTGGGGCTTACAGGACAAAAGTACACGGGAGCCCCCGATAAAGTATAGAACTCTTGTAACGAAGCCCAGTAACGCACACAGCTAAATCTAGTCTGCATTGGGATTCGATTTTAAACAATTAACCCAGTATTCTCTTTTATAACGTCTTCTTAAACTTCTTGTTTATGATAACACAACGTCATCTGAAAATATTTGATTACATAGCGAGGGTTTTTCTAAATGTTCGGGCGACAGATGATTGCACATCGTGTGCGTTGAGTCCGCGACGCGAAGAAAAGTGCCTCGTCTGCGCAAGCCGTTAGAAAATATAGGTAGATTCTCGACCGTGACATTTTTTATTATTTATAGGTAGTATAGTAGGTACGTAATTATAAAATATTTGAAGAAGCATTTTCTCTATGTTTGGTAACTTAGTTTTGACATTCTTAGTATTGTGACCTATTCCTGAGCTACCCTGATATTCTTTAAGAGTTTGGTACAATAAATTCAAATACAAAAGTTGTGAATTAAAATAATCACAAAAGTTTTTTTTTTTTATTGTCAATATAATAAAAATATAGTAACTTATTTTAATAAGTGTAGCTACTAGATGGATTTAATATTCTTTTAAAAATATATTGTTTTTTTCTTTTATATTAAAAATTACTTATGTAAATCTTTTTCTTATGAATTCTTATAAAAATCGAATTACCCGTACTAAATACCTACTTAATCTAAAATTAATTGTAGATAGTGTTTATTAAATTGAGACTATTACCTATTTACATATTACCGTTTTACAGTCTTTGTTAAATATAAGTAGATTTAATTTTTGCGTTACCTTAAAGGTACACATAATCTAAGTAGATATTAATATTCATTTTAATATGAACAACAAATTCTGATGGGAAAATTAATTTATACTATAATTTTTAAATTTTGGGAACAATATTATAAAAAATAACCATCAAACTAATAAAAAAAACAACTTAAAAAACCGGTATCGCGGTACAACACTACATAATAAAAGCTGGTATCATTATTTGCAAACTTGACATACGCATGTGTAATTTTGATGATCTTGAGATTAAAAAACAGACTATAAGTATAGATGTAGTACTGAATTTTCATACTATCTAGTTTTAAGTCAATGTATAAATTAAGTATGATAAATGTTTGTGATCGTTTGTCCGTCCATCACTGTGCAATCGTGTGTCTTAAAAAGTGTCTAAGTTTAAGTTTTTTCTTAAGTTAGTAAACAAAAGTATTTATTTTACAGTGTTGTGAAGAGAATGTAACGAAAACTGCCTTATATTAAAAGACAATTTGAATTCGACAATGTTTTTATTTTGATCTTCTTCCTGTGTTTATATTTACATTTGACCTAAGTTAAGTATATTTTACACACACATGCAAACGTGTAAAAAACACGAGTTTCTCTAAACAATTTTATTAGCCAATCAGAATGAGTCATGCTACTCGTAGCGGCAAACTTCCGGCAGTTATGATTTTATTTATTTTTTAAGCATTTAACTGCTAGATGTTTAAATCTAAAGAAAAGTTTACTAGAAAAAAATCCACGCGGACCAGGTCCCGTCCGCTTCCGGCAGTTCCCTAGAAGTGTAGGGTGGTTGACACACCGGTCCGCAGACGCGTGAAGCTTGGTTACTGTTCTTTACGTACAAAGCTCCAGGTTTTACCATCAAGTGAATTTTCTTTAGATTTATAAATAAAGCAATTTAATGCTTAAAATAAAAATATAAGAAAACCCGAGTTTCTCTAAATAATTTTATTAGCTAATCAGTACCCTTAGTACGAGTTTTACAATTACGAAAACTATGATAGTTTTCGTGAGCTCGCACTCGTACTAAGGGTACTAATTTTATTGTTTTCGTTTCAATACAAATAAACAGTGTTTAAATTATATCATTAAATCATTTGCGTCTTCTTAAATTTTGAATATATTTTGTTACTTTTCACCAAAATGAACATAGAAACATAATTTACAAATACGAAAACTATGATAGTTTTCGTGAGCTCTAACTCGTAATAAGGGTACAGAATGAGCCTGCTACTCGCAGCGGCAAACTACCGGCAGTTCCCTAGCGGTGAACGGCGGCTGACAGGCGGTTGCACTGGCGGCTGTACGTGAAGCTTCGTAACTAATCTTCACGTACAACGCTCACCATGCGTGAATGATGACGGGGTACAGTAAACGAAATTCTATTTAGTCCGTCAGTTAGATGATCAATAAATAATGGACACGTATTTTTTCTTTGGGCAATCAACCAAAAAATACAAAGTTATAGCGTGTCAAAGTTTGGGAGTAGGGGCTCACTTGTGAGTGAATTTTCACTCATAAGTGTACTCAAACGTGACGTCATGCTAATTTTCAAATCAATATATCTCTGCAATGTTTATATTATGTGAAAAAAGAAAAAATACGTGTCCAATACTTTTTGATAATCTACCTGATAAACGAAGAAAAAAATGGGTGCGTGTACTTATGTAGGCGCGTGAGAAGTTATCCTTCTTTGGCATCGTTTAAAATTAGTTTTTAATTGCATGCAAATAATTAATTACAATAAATTAATAAAAAGTATGGAAAGGGACACAGTCAATAAAGTTCAGTTTTAATTTGAAAAAATAAATAAATAATCAAAATATTCAATTAAAATCGCTACTGAATATAATTTATTAGAACATATGTGGTTTGCACTTGTATGAAACTCAAACACGTATTCCGAATATACAAACTAGAAACATGTGGATAAATATTATAAATATGAATACCTATAACTGTTACTTTATTACAAAAAATAAAGATGTGGTTTTTGGTTCTACTACACCAACGGTCAAGAGATGGCGCTGTAGTCTCCTGAATCGCGCTTTGGTTCCGTTGTTCCAGATTAATAAATACTTTTGATAGGCCTTCACAATGCAGTCGTTAGCACCCACTAAATAGAGATTCTATTTCTATTTTGTTGGTAGATTTTCTTAATGTGCGGTAAACACAAAAGTAACGCATGAAGTTACGCTAAAGCGACCAACTTCATGCTGTTAAAATTTTGTGTTACAGTGATGCGCGCGCATCTTAAAATTTCACTCTCATAATTTTTTCATAACGCTCCTAAAGAAGTATAACTTCAAAAAAATTAGTCATCATCCCTATTCTCTTTAGATGCAAAAATTAAGCAATTCAATGCTTATAATATAAATATGATAAGAAAACACGAGTTTCTCTAAGCAGTTTTATTAGCCAATCAGAATGAGTCATGCTACTCGCAACGGCCAACTTCCGGCAGTTCCCTAGCAGTGTAGGGAAGCTGACAGGCCGGTGCGCAGACGCGTGAAGCTTCGCAACTGACTTTCACGTACAATGCTCCAGGTTTCACCATAAGTAAATTTTCTTTAGATTTATAAATAATTAAAATAAAAATATGTTCAGAAAACCCGAGTTTCTCTAAACAATTTTATTAGCCAATCAAAATGAGTCATGCTACTCGCAGCGGCAAACTTCCGGCAGTTCCCTAGCAGTGTATAGTGGCTGACAGGCCGGTCCGCAGACGCGTGAAGCTTCGTAACTTTGCTTCACGTACAACGCTCCAGATTTAACCATCAAGTGATTTTTCTTTAGATTTATAAATAATTATAATAAAAATATGATAAGAAAACACGAGTTTCTCTAAACAATTTTAATAGCCAATCAGAATGAGTCATGCTACTTGCAACGGCAAACTTCCGGCAGTTCCCTAGCAGTGTAGGGTGGCTGACAGGCCGGTCCGCAGACGCGTGAAGCTTCGTAACTGTTCTTCACGTACAACGCTCCAGGGTTCACCATCAGGTCGACCACGTAGTTGGCGCGGAGGAGACCCGCTGGGTACTTCTCCTCGTGGGCTAACTCTTCACCCTGTCAATCACCATTTAATTATTACTTTCTTATTCAATAGGGAAAATGACATTATTTTTTCTTCGTCTATCAGATAGATTATTTAAAAATATTGGAAACGTATTGTTTCTTTATTCATATAATCTATTATAGAGATTATACAGTACTGGTTTGAAATGTCATATGACGTCATGTCTTGGAACAATTTTTACTTAGAAGAGACGTCAAGAGCCACTACTCTCACTACTTAAACTTCGATGACCTTTTTCTTTGTAATTTTTTTAGTTGATTGACAAAAGAAAACATACTTTCTTTCTTATTTTTTATATTTAAGCATTTAATTCCTGTCATCATCCCTATTCATAAATGTATGGATAAGATAATAATGAACCCATTGCAGTATTGAGTTGAATTTTAACTAAAAGATGCCTCTTGACGTCATACGAAGCTTAATGTTGATATCAGTAAAAATAGAACGAGAAGCCACAACAGTATAATATAAACGCCTCACTCAAGTCTGGTATTTTAAAAAATAGGCCTTTTTTAACGAGTATAATGCGTTTAAGCACCGTCCCCGCCCACTGGGCTAGTGAGCGGGGGTGTGTGTGTAATAGATAGCCGGGAATACTCCACTAAACTCCCCGGCAACTTCGCCTCGCCATAATTGAGCGGGCCACGAGCATGTGCAGGGCACTGGCTCGTGTAGTTATAAAATAGGCCTGACGCAACTTGATCGTAATCTAATTAAGTTAAGGTAAAGTGTGTATCGGGAGGAGCTCGATGGCGCAAGTGGTTAAGGCGTTCGGCTGCGATCGGCCGGTCGGCCATTGGATGGATAACCAAAAAATTACTATGTCGAACTCCTCCGTGCTTCGGAAGGCACATTAAGCCGTTAGTTCCGGCAGCATCTGCAGTCGTTAACACCCAACAAACCGCACTGGGCCCGCGTGGTAGGTCATTGCCCATCTCCCTATTTCATCCATAGGAAAGGCCTGTGCCCTCGCAGAAGGGACATTAATAGGCTGGAGATGATGATGAAACTGTCTGATAGGCGCGGTGCAGGGAGCACGGAAGCCCCAGCAGTACAGCACGCTGCGTTCCAATGACCCCCCGCACCGGACTTAAGTAATGCCCACCGATAAACAAAATTCGCTCAGATCATGGCATCTTTATTTATGGAATACCACCACTAGAGAGCATCATAAAGACCAAACGCTTGGGGCATCTTTTTTATGTCTGGGAAATGTCCTTACGCATCCTTCAACCAGCCAACCCTGGAATTCGCTAAAGTGAACAGGACCACTAAAAACGAGACAATACTCCTGCACCGTCACCCGACACGCACTATGAGGCCCGCGGTCCCCCTAGTGCGTGCCGAGAGGGCGGGTGTGGTCGCGGCACCCCGTCTCCGAATGGCCGCGAAAACGCTTAGGGCACCTGGCGAAATACCTCTGCTAACCGGGAAACTTAAAAAGAGGCAATTGCAATGTGAAGGCCCCGGGGGCGTTTCTGGACGGAGCTGGGCTGCCGGAGATTTGTTGCACACCCATCACACGCAAAACAGGCGCCATATAAACGTCGAGTCGCGGCAACGCCTATTGTATAGAAGAAAAAGAAGGGCACCCGTTTCTGTCCTCCCTTTATAGTAGAAGATCCGAACCTACATCGACCTGAACCAAGCTGTACCCCTAGCACGAACCATTATCGAATTCGAATTGATTGCGAGTGCTAAATGTATGTCAATGAAACTTGAACACCAGCGCTACAAACTACGTAACAAGAACTAAAAATCGGTACACATTTGACAATGACATATCGGACTCGCAAACGATTCGAATTCGATATTGGTTCGTGCTAAGGGTACTGATAATAGAATGAAACATATTTTATTATACATTTAATATATCAGAAACTATATTCAAAATGAGTTGCCTAAAAATTCCTGGACAGACTATTTTTAATAAATTTTTAAATAAATATTTTAATTATGTGTTGCAACATCAAGATAATAAGAAAATAGTGTCCTGACTTAAAAGTATAAAACGAATAGGATTGGCATCTGTTGGGTAACGTAATTAGCTTTTTATACCTGACAACCCAGAGTTCACCCAGGTAAATAATAGACGACCCAATATTTTCTTACATACTTAATTCATGATAAAATATGTTACAATATATTATCAGCTCGGTGAAGGTCGTTGTAGGTCCGGATCTTAGACCATTATTTTTCTTTCTGACCTGTAATCCTTTATTTTAAACACTTATTTATTCATTACATTTTAAGTTGATGAATATAACGTAATTGCGATGTAGAGGATTCGATAGTTGGTAGAGTAGCCCCATCAGAATCCGAGGCCGCGTCGAGATGCAGCCAGAGAGGTCGAATGGGTGGGAAAGACAGGGAGAGGAGAGGACGGTTCAATAATAGTGAGAGGCGAAAGAAGAGGAGAGGAAAAGATAAAGCATCTCACCGGCACGGTTACCAACTTAGGGGTTTTGCCCCCAGATTTAGGGGCTAGAAGTGTTAAAACGGTCTTTTTTTAGGGGCTGGAATTTTTTGGGGGTTCTTTTAAGGGCTTTTATCAAAACTTGCAATTAAAAAACAAAGCATGTGTTTTCTTTCAGTTTTGTGCGTAGAATGGAACGCACCACGATATGAAACGACTGATCTGACTGTGTGGCGGGTTGTTTCCTAAGGCTGTATGGACTAAAGTTACAAAAACAGGTAAATAATATTTAACAGCCTGTCAGCTCATTTTCGTTTGATTGTGCTTTCGGAAACTGTATTTATTCAATAAAATAATTTACTGTAACTAAATATGTAAAGTTTTAATTAATGAGCAACGAAAGTATTTGGGTAATAAGTAGGTATTTAAAAAATGTATATTTAGGGAATTTGAAAAAGATTTAGGGCAAAAGTTTGGTAAGGGTTGGTAACACTGCTCACCGGCCGTAACTCCGGCACGGCGACTTCGCACCAGGCGCGGCTGCCGGCGCGGTGCAGCGAGCAGGGCAGTCCCAGCCGGTCGCTGAGCACCTTGTACAGCACACTGCGCTCCAACGAGCCCCCGCACCGGACCCAACCGATACCCACCGCGGGAGACGATAGTTCGCTCTGATCATGGTATTATAGAATTACCTAGGTGTGCCATCAGCAAGGGCGGATCCAGGGGGGGGGTCATGACCCCCCATGATGGGGGGCAGGGTACAGATGGACCAAACCCAGGGGGATTTTATTTAAGTACTTTCAATATTTAATATACCACGACTATATGACCCCCCCTGGCGCCAAAGCTGGCTATATGACCCCACCCTGGCGCCAAAGCTGGATCCGCCCTTGGCCATCAGTACCTACCCCTAGCACAAACCAGTATCGAATTCGAATAGTTTGCGAGTGCTAAATGTCATTGTCAAATATTTATTGATTTTTAATTCTCGTTACGTCCATTGTGGCGTTGCTGTTCAAGTTTCCATACAAAATTTGACAATGACATTTCGGACTCGCAAACTATTTTTATTTATTTTTATTGACATTTTTATATAGTTTACAGCATTGAAATAATATTGTTAATAATTAATGTAATTTTATAAGAATTTATTGTTAGTTTGACAGGACAACTACACTATTGAATTAGGTATATACCTGTTATAATGGTGTAATGTATTTTGAATAAATGAAATGAAATAAAATTTGATATTGGTTCGTGCTAGGGGTACAGTACTGTCTATCGACTATCTACCTTAATAATGGATAATCACGCCTAATTAGAAGGACAATCGGGAGGCAATTTACTTTTTTCTAGAATAACTGCAAAAGTATCTAAATAATTAGTATTCAAGAAAACCCGGCTAATAGTGCGTTATACCCGCATACCAAGGTTTCCGTGTTCTTGTACAGTGATCAATTTAAACAGTGTTTGTTATGATTGAAAGAAGGTTTTTTAGTAGGTACCTACTATTAATGTTATAATTTTTATTTTTTAAGCATGTAACTGCTCGATGTTTAAATCTAAAACAAAATATTACTAGAAAAAATTCAAATCTGCTGCCCAGTCCGCGTGGAATTTTTCTAGTTATATTTTCTTTACATTTACTTACAATGTGTTTAGCTTATAACTCCGCACACTCACAATCAGATCAGCCAAGTGTAAGTCCACACTGAATACTGAGCAATCTCTCTCCTGCGTCAGGCCGCACATCTGCTCGGCCACGAACTCCGCCAGTAAGGAGGCCCTTTGCTTCAAAGACGAGGATACTTCGTCACACTTCTCCCTGTATCTATATGAACAATACCTAAATGAGTGTTAAAAATATTTATTTAAATAGATTGTAGGAAAACATGGTTAATTGTGTACTGTGTGTCTAGTATGCAACACGCACACTACTCAATATACCTATAAACCTTGGCGCTTGTCAATAAATATTTTCTTTACCCATAAGACCACAGTCGTTTTTCATTAACGTAGTCCTTAATGACCTCACCCCATAGTACATAGCGACGGCGACCCTGCCAGCCAGTACCTACTGCCCGACGGCAGCGCTCAGCCAAATGGTTTCGAACAAAAATAAAAGTAAATGAAGAAACTGTAGAAAAAGTTAAAGTTTAGTAGTGTTTCAAAAACTGCTGATAATGGAGGCTCTCTGCGTCAGAGACGAGGACACTAAGTCACACTTCTTCCTGTATCTGTGTGAACATATTCCTAAATAGAATGTAGGATAACATGGAAGGTTAGCTGTCGTAGAACCTAGAAGGGCGAACTGCGCAAAAACCTTTTTTTCAGAAAAACGAGCTGATGGTCAGTGGTCACTGCCACCCATGGACACTTGCAGTACTAAGGGTTGATATTATTTATCAGAGGCAAAAATCAAGTCCCAAAAGTGTGGCGGCGATAATCACTCGCTTCCTCAAGAGATGACGCTACCTGCGCTGCGATCACAATAGTAAGGAAACCTACATCGCGCAAGTAAAATCGGAGACTAACACTCAATATATACAATGCCCTACCAATATCAGTCGGGCATCGACCGATCCCTCCCACACAAGCCACAAACACCAACTACACAACTAGCAAACGTGCACACTAGCTTGGCATTAGGCAGACACCGCACCCGTAGGATAAGAGTGCGAAGACCCGGTCTACATACGAATAACTAGAGCCGAGGTCCGAGTCTCAGAGACGCCCTCTAGTTGAGCCGACCCCCTCAGGATCGAGTGGTCTAGAGGCTCCTGACGGAGAGGAGACTCCCCCCGTGGGGAGACGCCATCCGCCTGGAATACCTCTAGAGGCACTCGCAAATTCTCGGCTTGAGGTCCCCTTAGGATCTCGCCGTTCCCAAACCCGGTGATGCTGTAAAGATCATCTGCGACCAACAGCATACACACTCAAAAAAAAAGCAGTCGGGCCGCGGCCCCCGAACTCCCATCACCCAGCTCGAAGGAAGATCTTCCCTTTTGACCTTCCTACAAGTTTCATTGAAGTGAGATTCGGATGATCAGGTACCCAAGTATAGGGTTTAAAATGATAAACCATATTCATATTGGAAGTGAGTGTATATGTGCAACTATTTTGCACAGTCCATTTGTTTTGTCTAGAAGTGATGTCTTGGCGCAAGGTTATCTCCTGCTATGAACTTTAATTTCAGCGACTCGATGAAGGTATTTAAATAAAAACCACACAGTAAAATTATAAAACAGACGGACGGAGAAAACCAAATAAATATAAATTAATATTTCCAACACTCACACCAATTAGCCTAGCCCCAAAGTAAGCTCTGTAGGCTTGTGTTATGGGATACTAGGGTAACGGATAGAATACATATACTGTACATATGTAAGTATATTTATATAGAAAATACATATTAAACATCCATGACTAGAGTACAAATGCTCGTATTCATCACACAAACATCTGCCCCCACCGGGATTTGAACCCGGGACCTCTCGAGTCGGCGACACCATGAAACCCGGCGTACAAACCACTCGGCCACGGAGGTCGTCTTAATGATGTATGCTAATATGCTTGAAGTGAAACAGACGGTTCTGCCGTTGTAATATTTATTTTTTAAGCATTGGACTGTTAGATGTTTATATCTAAAGAAAATTTTACAAGAAAAGAATTCCACGCGGACCAGGCAGCAGACGGGACTTTTCCAGAAAAATTTTCTTAAGAGATCTATCGTTATTGATATGAACAACAACCATGACAAAAATCACCACGGAATAAGTAGGTATAGGGGAAAACACTAGACCTTTGCAATTATTATTTTCTTTATTTAATCTACCTATGATGTAAGTACCACCTCAATAACAATCATGCTATGCAACTGTATCTTTCAAATTATTTTATATGGATGAAGGGAACTATAATGACTTACCTTACTTCGTAATGTGCATCTTCTATCTCCATGTAATGAAGAGATTTCGCACTGAAAAGCAAGGACGAAAGTTACAAAACAAATTGGTACATAAAGATACAAATAAAAATCATTTTTTCAACATTCATTAATTAACATGGAAGAAGTTTTAGACTAGTTACGCCGTGTTTTGTTTATCGCCCAAATGCCATTTGTTATTCGATGAACAAAGACAAACTACTAACTAAGACTAATAAGGGGGTGAGTGACTCCCACTAGAAATAAAACCCTAGTGCTGAGGAACAAAATTTGATGCGTTTTATAAACAAATAAGTACATATATAAATTGAAAAACTAACGGGTCACCGAACCATATCTTGAGTCTCGTGAGATAGGACCGTAGGTTGTGGTCGTCTGGCAAAGGCAGCGCCCTCAGGCGAGCAGATGAGCTCATCTCCAACTTGGACTCCGATTGCTGATCTGATCAGAAACTAGAAATTCCACGCACACTGCTTATGGGAAAGAACATTTTAAGAGCCTCCACTGCCTTAGAGCCTGCGCTGCGTTAAGCGGGAGCACGGAGCGCACGTCCGTCGCAGAGAACCGCTCCGTGCTCCATCATCACATACAAATTCAACCAGTCGCAGAACTCGCAACGAACTCCCGCCTCTTGGCGCCGCCAGTATAATTTCGCACGCACGGTTGAGCAGTCGATAATGGATTATTTTAATTGATAATACTAGGTATAGGTGACGTTATATGGCCGCTGGATTAATACCTGCGCACTGCGCGATTTATCGACTATCGTGATTAATTCTTCACTTTAACATACAAAAACCTATTGTTACTCTACAATAAGTGTACCTGACACTTATACCAAAACTTAATTCTTTTAGCCGCGACTGCAATAATGCGCAAACACATCCTCTTCACTATCACTCAGCGGCCTTTTTACGTGACAGTACCTTAGATTAAAACAATAAGGGAAGATACGGCACTCGCGGCTCTAAAGTGATCCGCTTAAATTGTGGTGCGTGCTGTGGTCATGCACGCTGCATGTGCACTCAATATAACAATATTGCGTATATTCTGTGTTATAAAGATAAAACAATGCCTTCGATGCTTTTATAAAGAACACAAATACTAGTTCAAAATCAAATAACAAATGCCTCTGCAAGACTTTTCATTCGTAAGACTGTAAAAACATTTTTATCTGAAAAATCACGGTTTGTCGTGAATGTTATTCACGTAATCGCCATTTTGTTATCGTGAAAAGGACAACAACACTACTCAGCCGTACGGACTCGGAAGCGGACTCGCCGTTTCGCTCGCACTGCGTTGAAGCGTACTTCTTTCTCACTCGCTCGATTGAATGTTTACATACTGCGTTTGTGAGAGTTGCTTATGTGTAGTTGAGTCGGATCACATTTTTTTTATGCTAGTATGAGCGTACTGTCTTCCCTTTTAGTTTTAATCTAAGGACAGGATCTATACCTAGCTAAAAGGTGTCGTAGACAAGAACACGGAAGATAGCCAATCCAGTGTTTGTCGCCGGTAACCCCGCGTGACGGGAGACCTGCCTTACGCACCGCTGTTCTATGAAATTACATGAAACAGCATGACGTCCGGTGCGTGCTCCCGCTTAAGGCAGCCGGAGGCCCTAATGCTGCGAATTCACCAGGGGTGCACGGAGAATAGATCTATTATATTTAGGTATACCTACTCATATACCTGATATCTTAAACTCTTGCTTCGCTCTACTCAGGTATCCAATTGGTGGATTTATTCCTCATATTCCATTTTTTATCCATCTCTGGTAGAAAAGCAGCGAATTCTAAGGTACTAGGAATTATGATGAATTTGAGTATTGGTAAATGAGATCTTGGAGATTTAGGCCCGCTCAATGGTAAGCGGCCACCATAGCCTTTAGTCGCTTGCGATGCCAAAGCTATCACTCGCTAGGGTAGACAAGACCGTTGTCTACCCTAGGCCTACTGCCTACTGCTGGTGAAGCCCTGGAACCTAACTCACCGGCAGAAACGCAACATCTTATTTTACTTAAGAATATAGTCTTATTTTACTGTGATCTTCTGTAAGGTGGAGGTTACTTCCGGAAAAATCCTCTATGCTCTACCTCTCTTTAATAATTACCGTCAATTTATCATCAAATATTTTTTTTATATAGAGGTAGGCAAATGACTCTACCCCACCTAGGGTTACCATCCGTCCGGATTTGTCCGGACATATCCGGACTTTTTGTCTATTGTCCGGACTTTGCCCGGCTTTTTAATTTGTCCGTTTTTTTTAATTAGATGGAATATGAGTAAAACTATTATTATTTCATTATAATTATTATGTTATATCAAATAATTCAAATAATCTTTATTAAGTTCTCATTAATTTAAAACAAAATATAAATTATCTTTAAAATTCAACAACGAGACCCCCCTCGCGATGCGAGCGTCTGCTACCGCGCGTATAATATCACTGTAACTGAGTGGGTGATGTTTGCATTTAGGGACTAAAATGTCCAGACTTTTATCGAAATGTCCAGATTTTTGTCAGGACTTTTCAAATTTTTAAATAATAACCCTAACCCCACCTGATATTAAGTGGTAATAAAGTCCAAACGCGAAGATAGCTGGTACAGCAGTTATAATCATCCTCACCTTGCCGGCCTGCAAAAATGCTACTTCACGCCTCTCTGAAAGGACCCCAGATTATAGGAAGGAGGGATCACTTGCGCGGGTAAAGAATTCCACTTACGAATAGTACAACAAAGAAATGAGTCTTTGTTCGTGCAGGAATAGTGTAAAATGTAGGAATGAATGTAATAATAAAAGCAACTTACGCGGTGCCCTTATGTCCATGCTAGAGGCACGATCGAAAGGCGGCTGGTAGAACATACACACATACACAGGGTCCTTGTATGGCGGCTTCTGTTCCATCGCTGCTCGGAGTGTGGGAAACGTACTGCCTAGCCGCTTTTGAACGTAGAAACCTTCCTATGAAAATGTTTTAATTAAACACGGGACTAAGGCCCGTATTACAGAATGACAACAAAGCGTTGATCTTTACTTGAGTACAGTTAGAAAGGGATGTCGCTATGTGCTATATATAGCGACATCCCTTTCTATCTATGCTCAATACTAGATTCATTACTAAGAATCTTTCTATAATACGGGCCTTAAAGTCTTCTTTTTCTCTTCAACTGAAGCTATTGTGTGTGCATAGATAATGATTACCTATTTCCCTTGGTAAAGCCACAACTTGAGGTAGACTTTACCGATTCCCCTCAATTTAAAGATATCTAAAACTTTCTAGAGTTTCTTACGGAAAAAGTAATTATAGAAGTTGCGCAAAAAATTAAAATTGATGGCACTAGCACTACCCGAAACGTGGTGCTGCAATCAGGCTTTAAGATATTTTTATCTGGCAAGACAACATCTTCCGGGTGAGCTACTTTATAATATTCTTAATCAAAGTGCGAGTAAATTATTCATGTGCAGTTGTTTAAAAACTTGTATAATGTACAGTGAGTGTAGTATCATCATCAACAGCCTATCTTAGTCCACTGCTGGACATAGGCCTCTCCAAATGCACGCCACTGAGATCGATCTTGGGCTACTCGCATCCAGCTCCTGCCAGCCACCTTGCGCAAATCGTCACTCCATCGTGCATTCGTGCCTGAGGACGTCCTACACTACGTTTGCCTAGACGCGGTCTCCACTCCAGAACTCGTCTACCCCAACGGTTATCGGTTCTTCGGCAAATTTGGCCAGCCCACTGCCACTTCAACTTGCTAATCCGGTGGGCTATGTCGATAACTGTGTATATTGTAGTATTGTGTGTTTAAAAAAGAATTTCCAAGCGTGAACTTGCATATAATTTCGAGCCCCATCCCTACACGTATAAGTCGCGGCACGAAACTCTAGCGCTGGCCGTTATTGCGCAGAAGTAAATTATTATTATTATTATTTATTACCTTTGTAAAGTCATTGATATCCAATCGCCCCGTGTACGCGAGCTTAGCTGACGGATGATGGTTGAAAATGGCCTCCAGTGCGGGCTCCCAAGCTCCGACAACGTATCTCGCCATTCTATTGCCTACCATGCTGTGAAATGGAAACGTCTTAGACCTGGAGATCGATGGCGCAGGTGGTTAGCGCGTTCGGTTGCGATCGTTGAAGTTATGCAACTTTCGCAGTTGTGAGTCATTGGATGGGTGACGAAACATCTTCTCTCTCGAGGTTCTCCGTGCTTCGGAAGGCACTTTAAGCCCCTAATCCCGGCTGCATCTGCAGTCGTTAGCATCCGCCAATCCGCACTAGGCCCACGAGGTGGGTCTTGTCCCAATCTCCCTATTCCATCCATAGGGAAGTCCTGTGCCCCAGCAGTGGGGACATAAATAGGCTGATGATGATGATGGGCAGATCACTTAATTGAGTCCTCGCCTGCGGGGTAAACGTCGTGGGAGAGGACAAGAACGAGAAGGCGGCAGGCACATTCTTGTCTCGGCCCGCCGCCCGCACCTGTCACAGTCCCCGTTCTCCCCCTCCCAATCACCCTTTACCCCGCAGACGAGAACTCACTTAAGCGGTTTACCTTGAAGGCTTTAAGGTAAACCGCTTAAGTGAGTTCAGGGATGGCGAACCAATGGCACGCGTGCCCTGAATGGCCGCGACACAATAAGGGCAGATAACTGATCACAAAATACATGAAGCACTACGTAACATCTGCCCTTTTTACCCCCTTAAAGGATTATTTCTACGACAAAAAGTGTCTTTGTTAAGTACTTGTGTCTTGGTTAAGTACTTCCCCGGGACTCAAGTATCTATAAACCAAATATTATCTTAATCCGTTCAGCTTATACAGATTATAGACAGACACACTTTTGCATTTATAATAAGTATTAGAATGGAAGCATGGATTATCATGTTCCCATCAATCACAATTCATCATTGAACATTTCATAGAAAAGTAGCACGTTGATACCTCAGTATGTAATCTGAGGTTCATACGTAAAGATTCGCCATCTCTTAACTATGCTATAATTTTTCAATCTTGTCACCAATGATACCACCATCCTTTTTTTACATTTAACTAACAATCGCTTCATCTTCTCTAATTTTATATACTTTAATTGTTTGCGTTCGTGTGTAAAATTAACCCCTACTTTCTTCCGACCGACTTTGAAATTTGAATTGAAATTGTTATGTAGGTATGCGTTCGAGTTGTAATTCAAAATTATTAGACGAGCTGCAGTCAGGTTAGAAAGTGACCTATTATAGCCTTAGAGCATATATAGATAGATAGATATAAAGAGTGTATATGCTCTAAGATTATAGCAAATAATCCTTTGATTTATTTTATATTTTCGTCGATCAGGGCAAAATTTGTCAGGTTCGTCCTTTTATATTTTTTTTAAATTGTTGTATGATCGAGCTTCACTTGACAATGGCACATCCAACTTGGCTAATTCTCTCTAAGTTGTATTAGTAATATCATCTGTAGACGTAAAATTATGCCCAACGATGATGCAAAGAAAATGCTTTAAGCATTTTTTTTTCACGAAATTACGCGTGTAACCAACGAATTAGAAATTATATTGAAGCTATGAGGAAAACTATTAAAAACGCGGTTTTCTCTTAATTGACGTTTAATTACGTATACAATTGTAAGTGACAATAAAAGTCAAAAAAATATCCAAAAACATTAAAAATAAATGGTATAAAACTGCCAGTTTCGGCAACAGAAGCATTACTCTATATCAAAACATAGTTGCAAACTCATCAAATATAAGCAAATGAATTCGGCAATCTATTCATTGAGTAAGATAATGTTAAACGGAAATCCCAACCAATACCCTAAACGGCATGTTAACGCAGTTGGAACCACTTTTAGCGCAATTCGTATTCCATATTGTTTCTAATTCGTTGCGTCTAACTTCTGAAAGAATCAGTGTAAAAAACTCATTCACCACTCACTAATGTATGGTGCCCAACTCCAAGTAAACATCAGCTCCTTCATCGGTGACGCTGCATGCGATCAAAGTGCACAGGGCCGTGCGTAAACCGACGTGTTCAATGCGTAAATTGGTCGCCACCACCTTTGTTGACAAACTAATAAGTTATATTTTCATTTTTTAAGCATGTAAGTGCGAGATGCGCTTTCAAATCTAGAAAAAATTCCACGCGGACCAGGCAGTAGATGGGACTCGAAACCGCACCCTCCGCTATTTCGGTATCTGGGCGGATGCACTGACCATTATGCTACCACGGCCCTAATTGTCATTGTAGAATTTTCTCTAGCATTTCTTAAGCTGCAAGACAGCGCCATCTCTTCGCATTGTATTTAAATTTTCTTTAAATTACTTAATAAGTTTCATAAACCTTAAACCTTTGGGCCTGCGATCGTGCAAGTTAAACAACTTTCGCAATGGTCGGTCAATTGGATGGGTGACCAAAAATTAACTATCTCGAGTTCCTCCGTGCTTCGAAAAAGATACGTTAAGCCGTTGGTCCAGGCTGCATCTGCAGTGGTTAGCACCCACCAATCCGCACTGCGCCCATATGGTGGAAGACGGCCCAATCTCCCTATTCCATCCAGAGAATATAAAAGTGAGGACATTAATAGGATGGTAATGATGTGAGACATGGCCTTGATTTTCGATTTATCAGAGGATACGCAGTAGCAGATCTATAAAATGAATCTTAACTTGTTTGCTTGTTACGGCACTGTTACATACACCGTTTCTCTTCTTCAATGTTCATCACAATTAGGGTTGCCAGGCCGCCAAACCTAATAGCCGGACAGATTAGCCAGTTTGGCCGGACATTTGGGTAAAAAAGCCGGACACCCTACATTATTAAGGATTGTGTGGCTCAGTAATATTAAGTACGACAAAAAATTTAAAGTAAAAGTGATCGATTGTCAACACTCTTGTGCTCGGCTACTCTCGGCGCTCGCTCGTTGGCGAAACGTAAAAAGCCTTACAAAAACCGGACAAGCCGGACGCCGTTTATTTTGGCCGGACAGGAAAGCCTAACTATGTCCGGCTTTATCCGGACGCCTGGCAACGCTAATCACAATAAGCGATTGATCAATAGGGATGATGACCAACTGTTTTTTGTTTGTCTATTAAGTAGGTAATCAAAAAGTATTTGACGTATATTTTTTCTTTATTCACATAATCAAAACATAACAAAGATATATCCTTTTAGAAATTTCACATGACCAAGACGTGACTCTTGGTACAATTTGTACTTAGAAGTGACGTGACGAACTCTCATGCTTTGACACGATTTTTCATTATAATTATTGAATGACTGAAATGAAATAAGAAAAATATTGTGTTCATTATTTTTTGATAATGTAACTAACGCACTAAATAGAATTTCGTTTATTTTACCCCGTCATCACCCCTATTGCGTATCTTGGTACGTGTGACGAAACTGTTTTGCCAACTTAGACCAAGGAGGTTAGAGAAAAGGAGAACGATCGCTGTAGAAAATAGTGTCCCAGAAATATGGACAAGCTAAGTTGTCTTAAAAAAGCGGGCTGATGACTCCACCCCACCTGATGTTAAGTGAAGGTGAAGTCTAGACGCGAAGATAGCTGATACAGCAGCCATCCTCACCCTGCCGGCCTGCATGTTGCTTCTTCACGCCTCTTTTAAAGGATCTCAGGTTGTAAGAGGGAGGGAACACGTGAGCGGGCAGAGTATTCCATTTACGGATAGTAAGACAAAGAAATGAGTCACCAAATTTCTTTGTACGCATTGGAATTGTAGCCACAGTTACACGGTGGCAACGTAAGCCAGCGCGCGTGGTCCTCTGAAGGAAAGGGGAAGGTGGAATAAGAGAGAATAACTCCTCAGAACACTCGCCGTGGTACAGACGATAGACCGCGCTTAGTGACGCCACTAGTAATTTGAAATTTGTACATAATTCAACTAACTTCGGCAACGCGGCTGGTGGCTGAAAAATGAACTATAAATTCTACAAATTTTCAGGGACTTTAGCACGTAGCGATCGTTCTCCTTCGCTCTAACCTCCATGACTTAGACTCTAAGATTGGCAATGTTATTGTTAAAAGTTATCTGTGGACGACTTCTGTGAAATCTGCTTTCGTCCATGCCAACCGAGAGCCCAATGATATAAGAATGTTTTTTTTATGATATTCTTTACCACCACATCTCTCAATCATCTACTTTACCTTAATCTCTAACTAAATAAATAGGGTATTTGACAAGTTTAAAAAAACGAACGTTATTTACTTACTTATGTTTATGGAAACCATAAAAAATGGATATTCATTAATATGTTGTCGTAGTTCAGTAAAAGAACTAATTCAACCAATATCATCAATAAATTGCCGCGAAAACATTTCTCTGAATAAAATGGCGTCTCACTAGTCTGTGACGTTACACGACTGTCATTAAAACGTAAAACAATACACATTCACTTTGACCGGAAGTTTACTAGCGTGTGACGTCATTTTAGTCTTCGCCAATCGCAGGCAGTGTCGGTCACGTGACCAAAGAACAAAAAAAGGCATTTCACATATTTATTTTTCTAAAAAGTTATTTCTTTCAGAATAGTAATATCGCTGCTTAAATAAATATTAAATACAGAGGGATGCCAACAATTACTTAGATAGATACTTTATTTTTCATACTGTAAAATAGGCTATTGCGAAGAACCTATAACTAATAAGAATGTAAGCGCACCTCCTCTCCTCTACGCGAAGTGAACAACTCTTTTGCCATATCCTCAGCCATTAGGCCACTTATGACCGTGCACACCATAATCTTCAGGGTAATGTCGATTCGCTGTCAAGGATTATAAGGTTATCGAGTTTTAATCCTATTTAATTGGCATCCATTTCATTTATATTACAATACTAATTGATTAGACAGGTCTGAAAAGCCTGAAATAATTCCTTGTCGGCTTTGCTGTCAAGTTTTCTTTAACATATGACATCGATTGTAACAGTTTTTAGGAACCGAACTGATGGCAAGAATTTTAGAATTAGATATACAAATTGAGCTTTCTCAAATCACAAACCGCAATTCCAATAGGTATCCTTGATGACGATTTACGTGTAAATGTACGATGAGCGAACCACAGTTTTCAATAAATAGATTGTAATTGCTACTGAATCATATTAGTTTTTACTTGAAGGATATTCAGCAGTTCTTGCATGAACTCCGATGCTTTGGTGCTAGCGTAATAGTTTTGCCAAACCCGGTATCGGGAATCTATACATATAATAAAATGGTAGGAAAGTCAAAACTGTACATTGAATATTTTTTTCAAAGAATACTTGGGGTGTGATCTACAATCGATACCGAAGCCAAAAATATAGTTTTAAGAATTTTTGTCTGTTTGTCTATATGTATGTCCGGGATACACTCAAAAAGTACTGCATGGATTTACTTCAAATTTGGCACGAATATTATTAAGAAGTCGGGTCAACTTAAAGGCTACATATTATCACGCTATCGCCTACGGGGAACGAACAGTGAACCTTTATTTCTTTAACTCATTCTGTAACAACGTGTAATCTAACAACGTATATTTGAATGTTGTTATTATGTTAACCATGCTACAAGCTAGCTTCACACTATAAGTAACTTAGGCCGATAAACATAATAGACAATTTTAAAGCAGCGCCACAATTACATGTGTAAGCACTTTTTGGATATAAATAAATCTATGAGATTTCAAGAACATCAAGTCGAATTACATCTGTAAGCACTTTTAGAATATAAATAAAAAATAACTAACTCCACGCGTACGAAGTCGCGGGCGGCCGCTAGTTGAAAATAAAAAAACCGCACCCGGTTCTGCATACCCTAGAGTGAGTGTATGATGAGCGAACAACTCCTCTTAATTCTAACTGCCTAGCTTGTTTAATCATACTTGTTTTTACCTGAAGGATATTCAATAGTTCTTGCATGAACTCCGAGTTTAGCATCGCTTTGGTGCTAACGTGATAGTTTTGCAGATTGATGTAACATTGTACTGCTAAACGTTGTGCTTCTATAGGCGTGTCCTTATCTGCAACATCCTCTAACATTGTACCATATTTTCCAATTTCCTTCTTTCATTTCAATTCTTAATGGGGGATAATTAAATGACCGTCAAAAATATAATAAACGATCACCTAAAAATACAATTGGTAACCTAAAGCACGGTAATATTATCTATACAGTATTGTGACTCGGCCCTGTCCTTGAAATAACTGCCTACGGCCGAGCGGGGCATATCCACGCGGTAGGGCTGCCCGCCTACAGTATTTTAATTTCATCTACATAATTGAGTTTCCTTCTAGTTTTGCGATTGTAAATATTTTATTTTGACGTTATAAGTTGATAGTAAAACTCAAAAGTTTATTTTATACTTCTTAGAGCATTTAATTTTTATTTTTACTTTATACAAATTTAATAGAGCAACGGAGCTTAACTCGCATTCGTTATCTCCTTTCATTAGTCCTTTCATTTGATACCCATATTGTATGAGTGCAATGAAAATAACTAGTAAATATTGCCGTGCCTAAAGGTTAGGTTAACAATTGTATTTTTTTGAGGATCAATTACCTACTATTTTTTGATGATCATTTATTTTTAATATGAATTACTAGCGGCCCGTATAAATTATTAAAACTTTAATAATAGCTAGCTAGCAACAAGTAAGGAGTTTTTAAATTTATAAATGAACGAATAAAGATAACACCTGCTGATTTGTCCAGCCCTTCTAGCAATTGTCGCTCAAATGTCAAATTACTATGGAATTTGACAGTTAGGCACGATAAAAAACGTGATATAATGTGAATTGTGGTACTCATGCTACAGGGACAGGTATGTAATAAGGGAGCACTCACATTTCTTGTTGATAGCTCGGAGTGCGGCGAAAGTCTTGGGCTCGACGAGGCTAAATGCCGCTTTAGGTATGATGCGGCACAACTCCGCTAACGCCCGCAATGAATTCATCCTGATGTAGAACCACACAGCAGCGTCGTCGCCCAGGATAACTGGCATATCATTCAAACGATGAAGCCAATTCTATGGTACCAGGTGCTTAGACTTAATGTATTGGTTATAATAATGCGTCGGCGGCGAGAAGAAATCTTCGACCAACTTTTCCACTTGTTCCAAGATTTCTGGTATAGGAATGATTGTTTTTTTGTAATGAAGAGCAAGAAAATTAGTTTCTTTTTAAATTACAAAGTAAACTCGTGCCTAATAGCTAAGGCGAATTTACTAAAAAAAACTATGATATATCATAGGATTAATATAAACGAGAAAGACCCAATTCCAAATTTTTTGCTTTACGAAGCCGATGGAAGTAGTTAGTTGGAATCAACAATATTTCATATCGTTAGTTTGAATACCTTTTTAACACAACGAATCCATCGTCGCGAGACGGAAACAGACTGTAATTCAGGAGAGATAGCGAATAGCGGATTTTCCACTCGAATTTGAGCATCCGTCTGGTGAAACAACCTCCACACAGTAAAATAACACTATAGTTTTGTTTCTGCTGGTGAGTAAGGGATTGGGTGCAGACAGGCTAGGAGAGGATGGCTGAAGCGGCACACTTTCTGCCGCATCATCTGTCTTCGCGACTGCACACCACCTACACTTAACATCAGCTCTGCCGTCCTCAAACTAAAGTGCGGCTATCTGACACGTGGTTGATTTTTCAGTCTTAAATTGCATCTTATACAATTTTAATTCTCTATCGATCTGTCTTTAAGGAGTGTTCGTATCTTTTATAGTTTGAGTCTAAAAAGTCATTTGATGAATGGTTACAAAATAGCAATAATTTAAAGTGTACGAGCCGTTTTTTGACCATATCTAGAAAGTTGATTTTATCACTTAGCCGCGTTATCTGTATCTACATTCCTACTTTATACTAAACATCAAATAAACTAAAAGCGTATTTTTAATTACCACATAAAGCTTCGATGATATTGGTATCAGACATTCGGACGGCAGATGGCAGCAGTTTAGTCATGTTGGCCACACCCATGGCTGCGTCTGCAAGTAGCTCCACGTTTGAGCTCAAAAGCTGATGGCAGAACACCAAATCCGTGCCTGTCTGGTACAAAGCCTGAGTAAAAAACCCGCAAACGCATTAGAGGTATCGATCATTTATTCAAAATTTAAGAATCAATAATTAAGTTTCCTACTTTTTTATAAGCATCGTACTACCTATAATCCCTAATTTTTATTATGTGGGTACTGGCCAGCGTTGCCAGACGTCCACATTTTGGCGGGACGTCCCCGATTTTTACATCTAAAATTTAATGTCCCGCGCGGGACAGGCTCAATCCCGCTTTTCGGGAATAACTCGACCGTGCGTGCAGTGTACTGAGAAAGCACGGGCGGGTGGCACAGACAAGTGTGGCATCGGATCCGCGCGCGAGAATTTTACCGAATAGTCCCCCCCCCCCCCCCCCGCTTGCCGCCTGCCCGGCGCGTAATGAAGATATATATTCAATAACTTATGATTATATACGTGTTTTTAACTATGTCCCGCTTTCGACGAAAGAATCCCGCTTTTTTTATTCAAAAAGTTCCTAAATCCCGACTTGGCAAAAAAATCTGGCAACGCTGACACTGACTGAGTAGAAAATATATGATTTGAGTAATTATGGCACTAAATTGTGGCTAACATTCGGATCTCCTTTCATGAAACCTGAGAAAAGATTACTGACGAATGTTGTAAAATAAAATAATGTACAGCCTTTGTTTTTACTTACATCTCGACCGTTGGCGGTGAATGACATTTTAGTGAGTACAGCGAGGCAGTGCGGCTTCATGGCGGGCAGCGCCATCTCCAGATAGGCCAGCAGACGCAGGATGCATCCCGATTGGTACAGGTGGTAAGCGTTGTCCTCCGTCTCGACGTAGTTGCGTAACACACCGAGGACTAGCGTATGTACGTCGCGGAACTCATATGACTAGGTATAAAGATTTTATTACAACGTACCTACAGTGAATTGCTATGGCTCAATTACATTAGGTCGTTAACCTATATTCGGATTCGGAAAGACATTACTCGAATTCGGGTACCCGAAGCAATATTTACACTGGAATACGGGCTGGATGACGGTGATTGGGTAAACAAAACGAAAACCAGCCCAATACGTGCGTACTCGACTTCGTTCATTTACAAAATCGTTTACCCGAATTCCATTGGCACGCGTATTCGGGCTAGCGACCAAGTGTAATCGCAGCATTACTGAATCATTAGTCAAATCGAAACCCACCATTATACGAACTAAAAAATGGCTCGCATTAACAATGAAAGTAACGCTGACAGAGATTTCTGCTAAGTAATAAACAGAGGAGGAGCTCGATGGCGCAAGTGGTGAGCGCGTTCGGCCGCGATCGTTGAACTTAAGCAACTTTCGCAGTGGCCGGTCATTGGATGGGTGACCAAAAATTACTATCTTGAGCTGCTCCGTGCTTCGGAAGGCACGTTAAGCCGTTGGTCCCGGCTGCATCTGCCGTCGTTAGCACCCACCAATCCGCACTGGGCCCGCGTGGTGGGTCATGGCCCAATCTCCCTATTCCATCCATAGGGAATGCCTGTGCCCCAGCATTGGGGACATTAATAGGCTGATGATGATGATGATGAATAAACAGAGATTAAAAAATAACGAAAAATTATATAAGCAGAAACACTTAGTAATAACATTGGTCAAAAACATTTACCTCTAAGATGTCGCAAAGATCCAACACACCAGTGGAAGCTCTAAATGTTCTCTGCACCACTTGATCCTTATATCTGCAAATCAACTGATCTACAGTTCTCAAGGCAGCATGTTGGATGGCCAGGTACTTGCTCTGCATCAGAGCTAGAAGAGATGGCCAGCTAAATTGTTGGTTTTTCGTCACCTCTGATGCACATATTGGGTCATCCAATAGATTGCTTAAAGTCTAGAAATAAAATGTTGACAATGACATTAACTTATTGTTTCAAAATGCAAACATGTTGTATTGTATAACAATATATATTTTGAATACCTGCAAACAGTTTTTCTGCACATCTGGATCTAAACTATTTTTCATTCTTGAAAAAAGACTGCTCAGTATGTTGGCAGAAACCAATTGTTCACATCCCAAGGGCTCCCTAGTCAGTTCTGCTAAAACCAAAGACGCAAATTCTAGAACAAATACGTCTTCCATCTAAAAAGAACATAGAACACCTGTTAGTATAGCTGGCTGGCCTTTAAATTAGCTCTCTCTTTAAAAAAAACTCTCGATAAAGCTACATATTAACTCTAGGCCCGTATTACAGAATGACAAGTAAGTGTTGATTTTTACTCGAGTACAGTAAGAAAGGGATGTCGCTATGTGCTATATATAGCGACATCCCTTTCTAACTATGCTCAAGACTAGATCAATCACTGAGAATCTTTCTATAATACGGTCAGACCCCTCTTTCCCAGTGGGCACTTTGGGCAAGTGCCCAGGGCCTCGCGATCGATTGGGGCCCACTTCAGATCTTATACAAAGTCCCTTGTTCCTGTTAGATCAACAAACGGGAGCCCCATTATCGCAATATGCCTAGGGCTTCCAGGAGGACAGAGACGTCACTGAATAAGGGCCTTAGTGTGGCACCTGTCACAGCCAGGCTAAGCAAGCGGTACGTAGATGATACTTTCACAATCCTTCCAATAGATCAGGTTCTGCCTTTTTAAATTATCTCAACTCCATACACACCAACATCCTATTTACTATGGAGTTAAAGGCAGATAGTAAACTAGCTTTTCTTGATATTTTATCTTTCAGGAATCAAAGTTTAAGCCATACTGTGCATCGTAAAGTAACACATTCTGATAGGTATCTCAGTGGTGACTCACATCATCACCCGAAACAATTAACTGCCGTAGGAAACTCTTTGTTTCAGAGAGCACAGGGCGTCTGTGACAAACATTATCTGGCAGCTAAGCTTCAGCATGTCAACGAGTACTGAAGGTTAATAAACTGAAAGTACCACGTCGCCATCACAATCACTTCAATCTTTACATGAAGGGAGTTACAGTGAGGACTGGGAGGATTCTCAAGGCGCCAAAGAAGATCAACCACTTTCTACAACCTTTCAGGCTTTCAAGTGCAATATACCCTTTCAAGTTGCTTGTTCCAATAAACTGAATGCAACTGTGTAGTAAGACTTGGGTAACAAAAAATATTGCAGATTTCAAACATAGGCGTGAAAACCAAGTCTGCAGTATGTGAATATGAATTAGGAAGACCAAACTATTACATTAGATTTGATTAACTACAGATACTTGCAAGTGAACAACGATTCATTCCTAGGATGACACGCGAGCCTCACGTGACATACGCGAGGCTATCGAGATAACATCCAAATTTTGATAGATATGAGGTTGGTGTATATACCACCAGCTTGGGAACCCATTATTCAAGAGATAAATTCTCAACCCCGAACACACACTACAAGACCAACAGATGCTATAGTTCTAGTTAGTTTTTGTTTTCATAATTAAACATAAGCAGGAGGCAAAAAGCCCCTCTGAATTTGTTTCGCCAGTTCTTCTCAGAAAGGTCTCCCAAATTTGGAATTGCCGGTAGTATACGGTAGTTGGGATCAAATAAATAAACACAAAATTAAAAAAAGACTTAAATTTAGTTTTAATAAAAGTCTTTGGAAGGTAGCTCGTCAAAAGTATAGGTATAAAAATAATGATAATTATGATGGCGCAGCCTGAAAAGGATGCGAAATATCAAAACAGTAATAGAAATACGCATTTTGAACTCGTTTAAGCGTGTTTCATTTGATAAGTGGTGTGCGTGAAAACTTAATATATTTAAACAAATATATAATTAGAGTAGACTACAAACAGAATACCTTGACCAACATCTGCGATATTTTCCTCAAGTTCTGCGAATTAGCCAGTACCTGCTCAGGACCCTTAGGAAGTTGGCAGAGCTGTGCCAATGCCTTTAAAGCAAATCTTCTAATGTTCATCTCTGGGTGTTCCACGTGTGGTAGGATATAGTTAATAGCATTCAGTTCAAATAACACATTTCGATTGAACATGTCCTGAGCAGAGAATTTCGTGATTGCTCGCAATGTCTGCAAAAATATTTTAATCTTATTCGGTTTCCCATGAATTAGCTATCATTATTTTAAAATGAAGGTAATCAGTTTTATCCCGTAGATCCATTTATTCCATATGTTTCCTAACGCTTGATTGAAATATCCAGAAATCAAGTGTGGTTTGTGCACCTGGCAAAGTATTTCGGGTTCTTTGGACTCCAAAAGTAGTATGGAAGTATGAGCGCTCTCAGGTGTTATTGTATACGGATGAAACGATAAATCTTTTTTCTCCGCCGAGCGGTTTTCTCTCTCCTTTTGTAGAGGTTTAGCCATGGTGCTGACTTATTTTCTTCGGAATTGATTATTTATTTTCTACTTGTAGATTACTTGTTTGTCACATTCACGTATGTTAAATTGACAAACCGGCATTTGACAGTTTAAAGCTGCGATATATTTGAATTCCAAACCTTCTTGGTAAATATTAGTTTTTTTACAAAGCTTAAACCAAACCGCGAAAATTTATAACATGCCTTTCAAATATATATTAATAACTATAAATTATTATTGGGCATTTTTCCTCACTGGTGCTGCGAAAAAATCGCGCAATATTATGTCGCAATGGCTCCATATCCTTTCTTTTTCTTTCAATCTGATATTTGAATTCGAATTTTAAACAAGTCTCATTAATGTAATGTTAACATTGCCAAATGTTAATCAAATGTCAGATTTAATGTGGCTTTCGTAGAGATTTTGTAAGATTTACTTTACTTTTAATATGAGTAGGAGAAATATATTTGTGAGATCAGTAGGCAGTGCCGCAAGGAAGTTTAGGGCGATACAAGAGGTTTGGATTCTGCCATGGTGGGGCAGTGGAGGGCTGACTACTGTTCCATTGTGGACTGTGGACACCGTGGTTTTGATAGTGAAATTGTGTTCCACTTGTGTTATGGCCATATTCAAAGTGTTAATTCCTCCAGCTATGAAAAGCCTTCATGGAGAAACAGTGTTGGTAAATAAAATGTTAATTTTAAGTGAAAATCTGCTATTTTTGGAAAAGCTTTATCGCAGCAAAGAGGCGTCAACAACACAAATGCATATGAGTTATTATACCTTAACGAATATTAATGTTGTGTAGGGAGGTTTATTAATGATAATCTATCTTTGGAACAGTATTCAAACTACCATTTTTCTAAGCCCAAAACATGGATCTTAGTAATATTTCCAGTTTCACTTACTTGTTATTTGGAATATAGTAGAATAGTATTAGTTACAAAAATAATCAGACCTTCCACAATCTAATAATCATTAAACAACAGGTGTAATAATAAAATACCATGATAACTAGAAATGCGTGATCAATGAAACTAATTTTAGACGAAGAAAAATACAAGTGGACTTTACTAAAGCTTAGCTTAAGAACCCAACTTAATGCCTCAGGACGAAGTTTATGATACAGAGGAAATATTTTAGAATCAAGATGAAAGAAAGATAAAATTTTTGAAAAATTCCAAAGGAATAGATCGAAATATGGAAATAGCTTCACTAAAACACGGATTTTAAACAAGACGCTACGTTTATTCATACACAATCATCTTAAACTGGTGTTCAAAACGAAATTTAGTGTCTCATTTCACTATTTGCAGTTGAAATTCTTAACCCCCTGACGTTCCTACAAATCGAGGAATTTCAAAAGAGGTATTTTTGCAGATTGACAAATTGTGGACGGCTGGTGTGGCAAGTAAAACTGCTGCAACAGCTTGTCTTCGTGTCTGGGGCGTACCACCACCAAACATCAAATTGGGTGGAAGCCTACCCAATTATAGGAACAAATAATGCTATAGGGATAAAGTTTCCCATTTACGTTTAAATTCAAAATTATATTATTTATTAAAAATAAAGTGAGTGAATAAATAATTAGAAAGTTGTGATTTCCAGCTAAATTTATATGCAATGCAAAACATATATTAACGGGAGTAAGAAATTTTATTAATAATTGACGTATCCGGCCCGTAATCGGTTAACAATATATTGTTTGAAACTTTCATAATCACTAAGATTACCTATTATAGTAATATAAGTTATTTACGGGATTGTTACCATGTACCTTGTTTTAGCGAGTTTCCGATATTTCGGCACTGTTGCAAGCGCCATGATCACGGAGTAAGAAGTGGTTTTGGGTCAGTTTGCATTAAAATCTCTATTTAAATAATAGAAATATTTAAATAAATTATGTCTCCTTTAATGGCATATTGCCTATGCAATATTAAACTTGAATATATTTTTAATATAAGAGTAGCATTTACATGACCCAGCCATCCTGAAGTTCCTTAAGGCTTCATTCATTGGAACCCTGACCCTACCATTTCGTTCACTGCTGGACATAGACCTTCTCTAGAGAAGGTCTATCATTATTATATCAACCATTGGATGTGGAAAACGCACACGCGTTTTCCACATCCAATGGTTCAGAATATCCAGCAGTAGACGTCTATCGACTGAGGATGATGATACTATAGGTATAGGAAGGACTTAGAGGAAGATCTTCGGGGCTGGGTGATCTTAAAACATACACAGGATACAAAAGAAAAAAATTTAAAAAATCAAAAAACCCGACTGCTTAATTATACTTCACATAAAAATTGAAAAGAAAAAAACAAGTCCAGTAGTCTATAATTCTGTTAATAAGGAACAAAGCTTCTTTAACAGTCGGGACCCATTAGATATTCAAGAATACATAATATTTTTCAACAGTGGGTCCCGACTGTTAAAGTATCTTTGTTCCTTATTAACAGAATTATAGACTACTGGACCTGTTTTTTTCTTTTCAATTTTTATGTGAAGTATAATTAAGCAGTCGGGTTTTTTGATTTTTTAAATTTACCTTTTTTATTTCACACTTTTTAGTTAGTTAGTATTTTAAGACGGTATATACCGTAGTCTTGTTACTTCAGTAAGGGAATTAATATCGCGGGAATTATTAAGTACCTTGCGTCGGTTTAAAAGATTGATTTATTAAGACATATAAAGACTTTACCAGCGGGGTCAAGGCTACAGATGGGCCTCAATTTTCGCAAAAATGTGTGAAGTTAAATCAAGTCGGTACATAAATATCTCTAATGTATGTAAATTTATTCAAAAAGGCATCTTTTGTTTAAGTTTTTTTTAATAGTTTAGCAGTAAATATAAAATTCATTTACTTTTATTCGTTGACTATTTAAAATTGGCAGTGGCTGCATTGTCATGACAATGCTGGACGTCTAAGATTGTGATATACACAAATTCAGTGTCAGTCCCTAGTCTCATAATTTGATATACCTACATAATTCAAAGAAACCCAATATGTAGATGCCAGAAGTTAACTTCAAATGTTTTTAATCATCCTATATACAATACCAATCAATGACGTTTATGTCGCAGGTTGAAGAAAGCAGTAATTCCCGTCTGTTGTTTTGGACAATGGTGGCAACTGCCTTAGATCACTAAATTAAATAATTATGCAATCACCAAAGCAAAGTTTATAATATTTGATTAAACTAAAGGCGCATAATAAAATTTTCATAACGTTAGGTAGAGCACCATAGCAATCTTATTTATTATCAATTTATAGTTCTCTTTGTAGTTTTCTTTTAAAGCGTTCCCATTTAACAGGTCAAAGACTTTGTGTTCGACCCTTTTTTATTGGTAGTGTAAAGCTCGAATGAAGAGTACTCCCAGTAGTGCAATCATGGCAATTATTTTCCAATTTTTTTTTGTTATAAAAATACCGAATACAGGGCCGGATTTAGGATTGTGGTGGCCCCGGGCCACTTAGGATTTGTATTCTTGTTAACCCATCGAAATGTTGTTATTTCTTAAGCTGTTGTGGAGGCCCCTGGGCCACAGCCCCACCTGCCCTGCCTTAAATTCGACCCTGCGGGCAAGTACCACCCCACTCAGCCATTAAGCGATTGGGGTACTCCCTCAAGATGGGTAGTGAATTGGAAGTGCTTATCAGGGCCATTTGAGATTTTGATATTTCACTGATTGCCTGATTGGAGTGAACAAATATAGATCAATGATTTCTGTTATTTAAGATTAATATAATCAAATAATCATGTATGTTAGATGTACAAAGTACTGTAGGCTGTAGGTAAAGGTAAAAGAGCAAAAAAAAATATCAAAGGAAAAGATGTTTACTAGTGTTTACTAGTTGGAATTTGAAAGATTTTTTTTTCAAGTCTATTGTGGGGGCCCCCGTTTGTGGAGGCCTCGGGGCTTTCGCCCCGGTTGCCCTCCCCTAAATCCGGCAGTGACCGAATAACGTTTCACTGTTAAGCACAAATGCTAAGTAACTTTTACAAATATAATCAAATAAACCTATTACTTACTTTATTTTTAAATCTTTTTCATCAATTAAATACTTATCTTATCCTAACTATCTATACTAATATTATAAAGAGGCAAGATTTGTATGTTGTAACAAATAATCTGTCAAACTACTGAACCGGTTTCAAATATTAATTCATCATAAGGTAGCTACATTATTTATTATAACATTTTTCTTTATTTAAATACATTTTGTCCGATTGACATAGGCTATATTTTATCCCGATAAATAAATTTCGCCCGTACAATGCCCGGGTGGATTACTAGTAAGTATAATATAATATTATAGATGCGAAAGTGAGTTTGTTTGTTCCGCTTCCGTGCCCTAATAGCTAAATCGAATATAATGAATTCCCATATAGAAGTAGATGGGAACTTGGTTCTTAGCTACAACATCGCAATACTTATAGGCGTAGGGTGATAAAAGGGGTGATTTACCATTGTGATATTTTGCAGAATTATTACAAAACCAATATTATCGCGAGCTGATTAATAAATACAGGTATTCCAATAAGTATGTACTTACTAGCGAAAAATGGGTTATTTGTCATTATATTAAGTAAACCTTTTTTGTAACATTAAGTAATATCGTTAAAAAAATGAAAAACAGTAAAATTCAGAGTTTTTCATTAAAATTAGATAATCATAAATACCTATTATGATAATATATTTTTCATCATTTAATAAGAAGGAACTATATCACAGTTTTTTGTTAGTACTTCGTATAGGATCAGATACTGCGAATACCCAATTTTTTTTTCTTTTACATAGTACACCGCGCTATCACTTTGTCATCGTTGTGACTTTTTAAATATTTGTCGAAATTACGTAGTGTAAAAAGCAAAGTTTATCGTCTTTAAACATCAAAAGCGATAAAAGTATTTGTTTTGATAAAAAATGATTTGTTAATACAAAATGTGCATTTTGGAAATAGATATCAAATAATATTTTAGTTTGGATTCATTATTTTAGCGGTAATGACTTACACATTAAAAATAAATACATGGTGTCACGGACTTTTTTTTTAGAACTATTTAAGAGATACATTTTCACTCTACATTACATTCATGTAACTTTTATTGTTTTTGCAGTGCAGACCAAAATGGCTCGCAGATGGGAGATTTTTTTCCGTCTTATGTGACACATATTGGCCAATTCACTCAATAACTACATAAATTATTATATATATGTAATTATCATATATAAGCTATATTACTGTTAAGTTTCATTAAAATCCATTCAGTATTTTTTAGGTGAAAGAGTAACAATGATCCATACAAACGTAAGATTGAAATTAAGAGCGTAAGTGGTTCATATACAACTTTAAAGCGTTGTAGATCCTAAACAATCATATAAAATGAAAAATGGTGTTAGGAACCTAAATATGATTTTTGATTATCTAGACAGTGATACCGCACTTGACATATTTTGTCAACTTATTTTTTTTACCTCGTCACAATATGGCGCCTAATTTTGCCCATATTGAATTTTGATTACTATCATATCTTTAGTAGCACTCCCATGATTGAGACGAATCGATTGATGTATGAATCATCAAAATCGGTCCAGGCGTTTTGTCTCTAGTGTGCCACAAAGGAACAAACATACATATATAGACTGTTAAACACATAACCCTGTCTGCGCGTCGCGCTTCGCGCTCTTGCATTGCGCAGCCGGGTAAAAAGGTCTTAGCGCGTCTTTCCAAGATTTTCGTTAGCGCGATCAAGGCATTCCATAGGTATATTGGTGGTTTTCCAATTACAGCGGCTCAGTGGCGCACAATGCGGAATTATGCTGATGCTTAATTGGAACGTGAATTAGTTTTCAAATGCACCAGCAGAGTGCGCTAAGTTCAGTGTTGAAAAAAAAAGTCAATGTTTGTACCTTCATCCATATTTATATTTAATTTTTTAACACAGTTTGAATGAACTTTGATTATTTAAAAAAAACTATAATGAAACGAAAGTTTTAATAATTTTTCAACAGTAAAAAATATTACTAACGATAACATATAATAAAACATTTCGATCAATGCCAACTTAAAGAAAAACACTTGTTAATTTTCTGTCTCAGAGTTGGTAAGATTGCACGCATCAAACGAAAGCATTACTTTTGAGAGTGCTCGATTGTGCGAAACGTTGCTGTAGTTGAAACACTCAACGTTAAGCATTATGCCGCATAATGCGCTATAATGCTGTAATTGGAAAGCTACCATTAATACCATTCTTTAATTTCGTATAGCCATTATAATCATTCTCTGAATTGACGGCCAATCTTCAGTGTTGAATAGACACTATAAAAGAAGAACACTTATTTCTTAAACATTTAACTGCTGAGATGTTTTAATCTCATGAAAATTTTACTAGAAAAAATTAAGACTAACAAATGCTAGAGAATTTTTCGACGCGGCCACCAGGGCCCATAATAGTCAGTGCATGCCACGGATAGCGAAGGGTGTGGGTTCGAGTCCCGTCTGCTGCCTTTCCAAGTCGCCTTGGGATTTGTTCTAGTAAAATTTTCTTAAGGAGAACATTATTACTCCGCTAGTACTGCCATCTCTTGTCAAGACGAGTAAGGTCTTATATATATACTAGCTGACCCAGCAAAATTCTTACCGCGGTAAAAATAAAGGCAGGTGGTAGAAGAGAAAATTTAGGGTTGTATGTATTTTTTAATACCATATTATAAAAAAATAAATTTTCTCCAAAAAAAATTTTTAGGGGTGTGTAACGTAGAGTTCTATCAATTTCCTGGGATAACATTCCCCCTAACCCATATGAGAACACTACGTTACAATACCCAATAGTTTGAATTTTGGCGCGAAGGCGCATTGTAAGTTTCAGAACACTACGTTACAGGTGGACAACCATTATCACTCATTCATATGAAAAATAGATAGTAGCCGATTCTCAGACCCACGAAATATGCATATAAAATTTCATAAAAATCGGTTCGGAGGAGTATGGTAACTAACATTGTGACACGAGAATTTTATATATAAGATTATATCCGTATAGTAATATTTTGCGGCGTGTAATGTCGCATATTCACAATACCATTTCGATTTTTATCATCACACATATTTTTTTCTTTCAGCTTTAACATGTCTCATTTTTTAATTGTTATAAAAATCAGAACTTATACAACCATCGGTGGTTTAATGGTGGAAAAAAACTCGCCGGAAACGTGTTCGACCCGGGTTCGAATCACAGCCAAGGAATAATTTGACGACCTCCGTGGCCGAGTGGTCTCGAGTCGGTGACACCATGAAACCCGGCGTGTACGCCGGGTTTCCACCGGCGGTACTCGAGAGGTCCCGGGTTCGAATCCCGTTGGGGGCAGATGTTTGTGTGATGAATACGAGCATTTACTTATATATGTACAGAATATACATTCTATCCGTTACCCTAGTACCTCATAACACAAGCCTTATAGTGCTTACTTTGGGGCTAGGCTAATTGGTGTCAGTGTTAGAAATATTGATTATTTATTATTGTTTATAACTTTTTTATCATTGATTTTAAAAATTTCACTTGCATAGTCGTTTCATAAAACCACACATTTTTTTTAATCAGATCACGGGTGCCGGCAATGGTTTGGGTCGGGAGCTGGCGCTGCAGTTCGCAGAGCTGGGCGCCACCGTCATTTGCTGGGACAGCGACGCGCGGCGCAACAACTCCGTCATCGACGAGATACGGAGCAAGGACGGTGATGTAACTACCCACCTCTTTTGTTAGATTGAGCTATTTTAAATTTATCAGCCTAATAATGTCGCCACTGCTGGGGCACAGGCCTTCCCCATGGATGGAATAGGGAGATTTGGACATGGTCCACCACGGTTAAAAGTACCTTCCAAAGCACGAAGAAGCTCGAGTTAGTAAAATTTTGGTCACCCATCCAATAAACGACCACTGCGAAAGTTGCTTACATATCTGTAACGATCGTAGCCGAACGCGCTTAACACTTGCGCCATCGAGCTCCTCATTATTTTTTAATTCTCGATGAGCAAAGGGGAAATCCGAAACCATTGGTATCCTAACAGGATGCCGTGCAGAATGTTTACATTGAGGAAGGTAGAAGGTTTGTCACAGTGAGTCAGGTCGGGCTTCGACCGTGGAAGTTAAGCAACTGTCGCAATACCTGTCAACGGATGGGTGACCAAAAATTTGAAATCTCCAGGTCCTCCGTGCTTCGGAAGGCACTGTTCATTGTTAACCGTTGGTCAGGGTTGCATCTGCAATCGTTACCACCCTATTTTTTGCTCTATCCATACATAGTGAATAAGCAGTGGGGTCATAAATAAGCTGATGATGATGAATCGAGTATGGTATAGCGGTCTAGGAGCAGCAATAAGAGTTGATTGCTCGTAAATGTCTTCGCCGCACAAACTATCCGTTGGCGACAGAAACTGGTCAACTGCCAACTGCCACATTTCAACTGTCATTTTTGTTTATTATTATATTTATTATAGTTCTACTTGTTGTGATTGTGTTGTGTTATAGGTATATTCTGTTTTTTTTAAATTTAATTTCCACAATATTACACATGTAAACACTATGTATACATCTGCCAAACAGTTTGTCGGCAGCAGCTCTCGTTATAATCTTTTATATGTATAAAAACCTATCTAGTTCAACAAAAAAATTAAAAACAAAAACACATATGCACATACACACAGACACACATAACTTACATACACACGCGCGCGCACACACAGTAAGATACTTTCACTTTTTTTTTTGAAACAATAACAATCCAAAATATACCTAATATTAAACTTTCTTAAATAGTTTACCTCCTGTTAATTATATTATTATTCATTTAAAGTCAAATGTATTTCATTTATATTACCCGTCTAGTACCACCCCTTACACCTACGAGTATGTTGTAGAGCACTCTGCCCAGTGCCGTCTTTGACCTATTGGAGGCCCTGGGCATATTAGGATAATGGGGCCCCTATAACTTCTGTTTGGTGATTTAACAGGAACTAGGGACTTTGTATTTGATCTGAGGGGGCCTCCTATCGATCGCGGTGCCCTGGGCACTTGCCCAAAGTGCCCACTGGGAAAGACGGGTCTGACTCTGCCTATTTCACAAGCAGTCCTTTTCTTTTTGTTTCATTTTCACTTTTTCCAGTGCTTTGGCTACACGGTGGACATAACTGCGCGGGAGCAGGTGGCATCGCTAGCGGCGCGCATGCGTAGACAGCTGACCGACGTGTCGATGGTAATCAGCAACGCGGGCGCATTAACCTGCGCCCCTTTCAACCACTTGCGGCCTGACGCCATCGCCAGGATCATCGAAGTCAACTTGCTAGCGCATTTCTGGGTAGGCACGTCCTTAATTACTTACTGAAATTCCCAGTAACCCGAGACACCCAGACACGCATACTGACAGCTGTTGTTGGACAGTTTAACCTGACATCATTTCGGCTGTACGCAGCATCCTTCGCGTATGGCCATTTAAAAAGTATACCTACTAACAGACTTCGTACTTGTGGAATTTTAACGATGACAAGTCACACTACACATTTATCAAAATAACTAGAAAATAAAAAAGCTCTAAAACTATTTTTGTGAAAGGTCATGATTCCATAAACAATCCCTCCATTCTCCCGGGTGTGGCTGGAGTCACGAAGCTCATCAGCTGTCCCTCACGAGAGACGAGTCGGCTGGCACTCCTTATGACTCAGCATGAAACTTATATTTATAAATAACTAGTATTTATATGATTACCTACTGCTGGTTACGAGGAGCTCGATAGCGCAAGTGGTTAGCACATTCGGCTGCGATTGTTGAAGAAAGCAACATTCGCAGTGGTCGGTCATTGGATGGGTGACCAACAATTTACTATATCAAGCTCCTCCGTTCTTGGGAAGGTACGAAAAGCCTTTGGTCCTGGCTGCATCTGCAATCGGTAGCAACCACTAATCCACAATGGTCCCGCGTGGTGGTTCATGGCCCTATCTCCCTATTCCATCCATAGAGGACCTGTGCGTCAGCAGTGGGACGTGGGGACATTAATAGTCTGATGATGATTATGTGATACGTAATCCCTTAATTTACCCTTTTTTTAACAGTTAATTCAAGCATTCCTGCCGAGTATGATAGAAAGGCGCCAGGGACACATCATTGCCATCAACTCTAGTGCAGGACTCATGCCCTGTCCTGAGATGATTCCTTATTGTGCTGCAAAATTTGGTTTAAAAGGTAAGTTATATGTAATAATTTGGATAGGCAGTTCATTAATTGAGGAATTCGATAGATCTGTTCTATCGAATTCCTCAATTAATGAACGGTTAGCGCATTAGGTCTGCGATCGTGCAATTAAGCAACTTTCGCAATGGATGGTTATTGGATCGGATGGTTGACCAAAATTTTATTATCTCGAGCTTCTCTGTGCTTCGGAAGGCATATTAAGCCTTTAGTCCTGTCTACATCTGCGGTCATGAACACCAACCAATCCGCACTGGGCCCGCTTGGTAGATCTTAGCCCATTCTTCCCATTCCATCGATAGGGAATGTCTATACCCCAGCAGTGGGAACATTAACAAGCTGGTAGGATGGTGATGAAACTTATAATAGTAGTAGGATAAAAGTAGTAAATTGGTATAAATTATCCGTACTGTGGTACTCTATCGTGAAGGGATAGGCCTGGGAGCGCAGCGTTGTTCAATTTTGAATAATAACCACGTCTTATTATTGATTTATTTTATTTCAAAAATGCAGCGAATTACAGGAAATCCGTATTATCAACTGCTCGCTTTTGTGTTTGAATTCTATCTGCTGGAATCTTCGATAAGAGACAAAAGATTCCCAATTTCAAATCTTTAAAATAATAATAATCCATATTTGTCCTCAGGTTTGATGGACTCAATAACCGAGGAGCTCAGGCTGGACACGTGGACCAAGAACATCCACACCACATCTGTCTACCTGGCTACGGTATCCACCGGCCTGTACCCCCCTCCTAGCCATCGGTTCACTGCCTGGTACTCCGAAATCACAGCAAAGGAAGCGGCCAGAATTATAATCGAAGGTATCTCCACATACGTTTTCCAGTTGATTAAATCTCTAGGTCTTGGTCAACGTTACAGCCGTATTGTGTTTGACAATAATAGGGGTATTCCAAGGAGTAGGGGGTTAGGTCAGGGTGTGGGATATATTTTGGTATTTGTCATACCAAAATATATCCCACACCCTGTCACCCATCCAATGACCGACCACTGCAAAAGTTGCTCAACTTCAACAATCGCAGCCGAACGCGCTAACCACTTGCGCCATCGATCCCTTCATGTGCAGAGTACTCCTCAAACTTGGCGGTGTTTCTTCTTCTGAGTTTCAATTCGTTACAACTTAAGCTTACTTTAGGATCACAGTACCCTTAGCACGAACCAATATCGAATACGTATCGTTTGCGATTCCGAAATGTCATTGTCAAATGTGTACTGACTTTTAGTTCTCGCTACGTAGGTACTTTGTGCCGCTGCTGTTCAAGTTTCCGTACAAAATTTGACATTGACATTTCGGTTTGCAAACTATTCGAATTCGATAATGGTACGTACTAGGGGTGCTGCTCTGTATACGCACACGTATTTACGAATATGTTTTGTAACGTAAAAAAGGTATATACCTTCTGCTAATTCTGGATTTTCCATACATGCAGCACAGGAGCAGGACTGAATAAATAAAAGTACCTGCTTTTAAGGTAGAGTCAAATGTAGAATCGAATCAAGCTGTTCTAAATTAAAGAACTTAATACCGATTATCTTTCACAGGCGTCCGCAAGAATCACAAGAACATTAGCATACCGTCCTTCATGAAAATGCTGATTGCAATCAACAACCTTATGCCGTACCGCATATGGATTATTTTCTACGACTTCTTCAATTTCGGCCACAGAGGTTGGTTTTATTTTTGCTAAGGATAAAACTGGTGGTTACCTGAAGCGAAACTGGTGCTGAAGATGTGTTCTTATCAACGATAATCAATACCTTAGATACACCACGTGCGCTCAATATGTGTCCCTATGAAGAAGTGCTTGAACACCACTCAAGCACTTCTTGGTTCACAGTCATGCTTTTTTTTTGAGTGTGTATGCTGTTGGTCGCAGATGACTTTACAGCGTCACCGGGTTTGGGGAACCACAGTCACGCGCGGACCGTTGAGAAGTCAAGTTGCCGCAAAGCTCCGTGAAAATCTTTTGAGATTTAATATCGCTGCTTCTTATTTGATTAATTTAACGTTAGGGTGATCTCTTAATATGATTAATATTAATTTATAGGAGTATTTTTATTATACAGGGTTAATTTTAATATACCAAAAACCTCGCAGATTAATATATAATATGGTGTTATGTAGGTATGATGTTAGCAAACCAGATTGCTAACATCATACCTACATAACACCATTTGTTCTATGAGTTTAACATACTACGTAGGTAATCGATCAATAAAAAAAATAAGCTGTCGTGACATTTATACGTATATGCTTCCTTCACAACCAAAAGGGCATCGCTCGCGCGCTTCCAATTATTAATATTAATATTGTATTTCTTTACCAGATACTTTAATTGCTCACGTAGCTTGTATGCACTTGGTACACTGAATCCACAATCACATCATTATTTACTAACTACATTAAACAAATTCCACGTGTCTGTATTGGTTTGTAGAGTTAATAAATAACATTCGGGCGGTAAATTAACTCAATATTTATTTATTTTATGAAAATAAAATGTAACGAATTTTCAAAACTCGTAGAACAAATGTTTTCGTGTATCTAGTACTGCGAGGGTACCGGTATTTTAAAATTAACCCAGTATTTTATCATAATTGGTGATATTACAAATGAAAAAATGAATATCAGGCTTCTAATTACAAAATTCATATATAATAAATGGTGTCGAATTTTTTTACTAATATAGAGAAGTGAGAATTGAGAATAGTTTACATTTGTTTGTAAAACTTTAAGTATTTAATAAATGCATATTAATAAAATGTATTTTCTTTTATTCGATCCATTAGTATTCCAAATATGCCGACGATTAGTTGCAAATTAAACACAAACAAGTTTTGAACTGAAAAAATCTTATATACGTATGCAGCCGTCCTAAAAATACTTTTTTTGGAATTCGACTAAAGGTTTTACACAAAATTCATGAAAAAAAGGATTTTTACCAATCCAAAATTAAACTAAGTGCCTAATTTCCTGTACTGCTACATAATAAAGGTTTATAGGGTTTTAAGGAAGCAAATGGGAAATAATTTTTGCCATATAAAAAATATTGTAATTGCACTTGGTAAGGTTAGGTAAGAATTGGTATTCTACGGGTGTGTGACCAGCCATCCTCATGTCAGAACCGCAGGTTACTGTTATTGTTTAGATTATTCTTTAAATATTGAGAAAGCAAACCTCTCATGAAAGGAAGAAAATTTAAGCAAATGGGTAACAATTCTTGGCCACTGTACAAGCGATTCCAATTCTTAATAAAATAAGTGACCTGCCATCCTGACGGACACGAGGTACTATTGCCTCAAGCGCGTATCAGCTCAAGGCGTCCTTCACGCGAGGCTGGCGCGACGTAAGCCATCAGGCATTTGACTGTAAAAATTATAAATGACATTGAACAAATACATGTTTGATACATGTATTCTATAACTGTTGTGTAAAAATTCTTCAGGTTAATATTAGGAGTATAGACAGAAATTTCTCTAATTTATTAACACTATAGGTAATATTATTAATAAATTAATAATGTTAATAAATAATTACAGCGTATATCTATTTCAGTCGATGTAATAGTCTTGTCCGAATGTTGGTTAAGCGTATATCCATCTTTGCCGAGTCTCTCCGGCTTTAACTCGTGTATGACTTCATATGGTAACCAAAACGAAGGAGTATATAGGAGCATACGTCAGAGAAAACCTTCCGTTCTCTTTTGAGGTACCTTGCTTTAGTGGTGCAAACTCTTTAAAATTTACGGATAAATTAGCAATAATCGCTCTATATCGCTCACCATCGTATATAAATACTGATTGGTTTCATGAATTCGCTGAACGCCACCTTAAAAAGTATTAGTAATTTTAATATCAATATTACTCCAGTCAACACAGATCCCCATTCAGACTTATATTTGAATATTACTGCATCTCATGGTTTGCTGCCAGCTCATGATTTTCTTACAGGAGGTAGTAACTGTCTTGATCATGTTTATACTCAGGACCAAATCTAGCGCTATTACATTTGTTTTGGACTCATTTATTACTTGGTACCGATCACGCACCCGTAATACTTTGCTGTGGCCTAAAACTGAGTTCAACAAACCCTGAGCGCTCTCGCAAGCATATCATTACAGACGCATGTACCCAGGAGTTACAACACGTCGATTTTTCACCTAATTTCTCTTGCCGCCATGACGCAGATCAGGCTACTAATAAACTTGTCCATATTTTCATCCATTGTAACTAGATATACAAATATAGTGTCGACTTCAAGTAAAAACAATAATTAAGCCTTGGATCACACACACCAGGTTTGTTAGGATGCTTGAGAAACCGTGATAAACTATCTCATAAAACAAAAAAAGATCCTGATAACGTGATTGTAAAGATTTCCTATTTAAGATATAAAACTTCTTAAATGATTTAACAAAAAGAGTAAATAGAGTATATGAACAAGCTGAATTTGCTAAGACAAAAAATAATCTAAAAGCAACCTGGGCTCTTATAAAAAAGATAGGCAACATTAATCAATCGCACAATGCTGATCAATTTCTTTCGCTTTCAAATGACCCAAATTATGCAGTAAATCATTACTTTGCCACTGTTGGCAAGGATTTGGCTTTCAGTATTTCTGTACCACAAAATACTGTAATTTCAGAAAATTGTTCTCCAATAAATTCAATGTTCCTTTTTATTACAAATGGTAAAGAAATTGAAAGCATTATTAATGATTTAAAAATTACAATGCTGATCAACTTCTTTCGCTTTCAAATGACCCAAATTATGCAGTAAATGCAGTAAATCATTACTTTGCCAATGTTGGCAAAGATTTGGCTCTCAGTATTTCTGTACCACAAAATACTGTAATTTCAGAAAATTGTTCTCCAATAAATTCAATGTTCCTTTTTATTACAAATGGTAAAGAAATTGAAAGCATTATTAATGATTTAAAAATTACTTCTGCAACTGAATGGGATGGGATTCCAACTACTATAATTAAAACAGCCAAAACTTCACTGGTTCCTGTTCTTGAGCATGTATATATATGGTATATGTAAGGTATTTTTCCAACAGCTTTCAAAAAATCCCTTGTATACCCAATTCACAAGAGTGGGGACAAGGGCAGTGTCACAAACTATAGGCCTCTCTCGGTTTTAACGTTATTGTCTAAGATCCTGGAAAAGATTTTAAAGAAAAGACTCTTCAATCAGTTTGGTTTTAAGAAAAATAAATCAACCGAAAATGCAGTTTTACAACTTAGCGAATCACTAGTTAGGAATCTTGAATCAAAACTCAAGACGATTGGCTTGTTCCTGAATCTTTCTAAAGCCTTTGTCCCTATTCTGATTGAAAAAAATTCGAGGATCGGTGTTCAGCGTGTTGCGTTGGATATTTTTAAAAGTTATCTTGGTAAGCGTTCACGGTGTGATATGATACACAATTCTACAAGTCAGGATGAACATATCAGTTACGGTGTTCCGCAGGGGAGTGTCCTAGGTCCTACCCTTTTTATTATCTACATCAATGACCTAAATTGATTCTTCCAAACTGCAAAATCACTGTATATGCGGATGATACTGCTATGATAATCCATGGAAGTACCTGGAGTGAACTTTCTTCAAACACTGAATTTGCACTACAGGAAGTAATGAAATGGTTATCCATAAATTCATTACATTTGCAGCACATTCAGACTCTCTTCCATCTTCTTCTTTTACCATTCGTGGTCATCAATTACTACTGTGACTGTTTGCAAATCCAGCATACTCCTCACATTAAATACCTTGGTGTTTGGGTTGATGCTGTTTTGTCTTGGAAGGAACATATTAACACTACAGTAGCTAGAGTCAGGAAGTTAATGTTCATATTTAAAAATCTTAGAAATGTCGTAGATTTGGAAGCTCTCATGACTACTTATTATGCTTATATCATATTGCATTGTTGTCTGCGGTTGTTCAGGGAAAACTCACCTCTGACGTCTGGAAAGGGCTCAAAGGGCTGTTATTAAAATCATTAATTTCAAACCAATTACCTTTCCAACATCTGAGCTCTATGCACTTTTTAATGTTTTGTCAGTTAGGCAGATTTATTTAATTAATGTAATACTACATAAACACTCGCAGATGCCATATGATGACCGTATTTCGTTATGTAAACGTAGACCTTACATTTTGTGTAAGACAGGCAGTGTAAGATTAAGTGTAGCTAGACGCCACTTCTGCTTCTATCTTCTGTTTTATACAACAAGGTGAGCGGAGTCCTGAATATATTTCCTCTTACTCTTAGAAAATGCTGTGCCGTGCATGGTGGAGCTGCTCACCTTGAGGCTGCCTCTAATCCGTACACACCGAAAGAACATTATTACTATTAGAACTGTACATTTCAAAAAACTGTATCAAATAGGAAAATTGTTTCTTTCTGTGTTTGTTATTGCCAGAATAAGGTTTGTATAAATTATAATTAAGAAAAATGTGTTACAAAATAATATAGTGATATAACATTCGCCTGATCAGCTAGTTGTAAATAAAATTAATGCTTGTGGCAACTGATTTATTCGTTTGATATTTTTTTTTATTTGCAACAATGCAGGTCTATCTTGGACCCATTGACTGTCTGGCCACATCGTTCACAAATAATGATTTTACTGTGCTGTGATTTGTGCTCCTTCAATAAAATGTCATTAGTAAAATATTTTGAACACACATTACATTGTAGGTTTTTCATTTTCTCATGTTTTGTCAAGTGGCGTAGCAAAGAGGAATGTGTAGAAAAATTACAACCACATGACTCACAGAGATGGAAACTGCTCTCTTGTTTGAAAGTATGGCTTTTCACATGAAGATACATTTCCTTACGATTAGAGGAGGTGATGCTGCATACTTTACATCTGTGAAAATATAATACAAAAGCCACTTACAATTAAAAATACCTAATAAAAAAATCTTACATTTTTATTAGAAGCAATTGAAAAATTGGACTCTGAACTTACCTATACATAAGATTTTCAGACTTTTCATGTTCCTCTAATTTATGTTTAGTTAATGCAACATTTCCAATGAAACTGTGTCCACAAATGTCACAAATTTTCTCCTCAGATTTGTGTACATGTCTCCTCGCATGTTTATACAGCTGAAATCTTTCCTTGAAAGTCAACCCACATTCTTTACAACGATACAAGCAACCCATTACTGCTCCATAATCCACAAGGCAAGTTTTGTGGTGCTGTATTAACTTCTCCTTACTCTGGAACTGCTTACCACATTTACAAGATAGTAAGTTATGAGTCAATAAATGTTGCTGCATTTTAATTTTGGAATCAAACAACATTTTACAATGAACACAAGTACGTAATGCTGCATCACATACACTCATGTGCTGGGTGAGTTTGTGAATATCGTTAAAAATTGCACCGCACGCAAAACATGAGGAATCATCTTCATGAGCATTCTTTTCTTTCGGTTCAGTTTCTTTTATCAGCAGCTCCTGAACTATTTCAATATCAGAATCTAAAACATCTATTTCCATTTTAATATCACAGTTTTTACTTTGTTTAACAAAATTACTTTTTTTCTTGGGTGATGGAACTTTGGTGTCTTTGGCATGGAATGATATGCATTTTTCATTTCTATCTAATAAATTTACAATAGAAGGAATGTCTTCCTTACCTAAATTATTTAAATATTCTTCAATATTTGCAGTGTTATTCAAAAATTCTAATAAAGAATCCGAGTTATATTCGGAGTCTGGTAGGGGTTGGATTGGTGTTTTGGTTTCCAAGCACTTTTTAGACTTTTCTTCTATGGATGACTCCAACCAATCTTGAGAGCAACGTGCATTGAGTTGGAAATTGTAGAATTGAGCCAATTGTGAGACGCATGAAGCGCAAATGCTTTTAGGAAGATTATCACCCGGAGATATCGTTACTGCGAGACATGATTTTAAGTGAAGATGAATAGTAGGGTCCCCAATAATAGAAACATGATCTGTCTCAAGATCTAAGCATATTCTACAGTACTTCTGTAACTCTTCAGTCATTATATATTTTTTTTAACGACTTGATTTTACTTTAGATCCAAACGAAACAAACAGAAAAAGTTATCTATACAGCACAACTGTCAAAATCAAATTTCTACAATCGATTTTAGCCTTTGTTTCTGTTAGCATAAGATTCTCATCAGTGTTGCCAACTCGGATTTTGAAAAAGACGTAGGCCCGATGAGAAAATTACGTAGAATTGGTAAATTTTGCATATGAAAAGTAAGTAGATCTACGTACTTTTTCTGAGTGAAATGAAGAAGTTATTTGAAACCGAATAAAACGAGTATTTTGTTATAAAATTTGTTTAAGAACGGAAGATACAACAAAGAGTTCTTGGAGAAGTCGCTGCATTGGAAGCATTTACCATGCTGTGGTAAACATTTACCATCAGACACAGACACTGGTGGGTGCCGATTCTGGATGGTTATCTAAATTTAAAACTTAATTTAACATCAGTCTCTCCTTTTCATTCTGTATAGATTCTCTATACACAAGGACAAGGATAAACTGTTGTTAAATGGGCTAATTGACACTTTTTGGAATTATGTTTTAAATTCTTAATAATTGTTCTATCAGAACGAAAAAATTTTTTTTTTACCTAGAAGACATACAAAAACGCTCTTTAGTCTACAGACTTATCTATTCTATGACGTCAAAACATTTGTAAACAAAACTCGCGAGCACGTAGGAAATAAATAGCTAAGTTAATATTATAAAACCATGATTTCTAATAGATCACATGAAAAATATAGTAGTTATCATGATACACTTGGTAAAAGACTCTGGAAAAGTTGTGGTTTAAATTGCCAAGAGAAAAAACATACTTACACATGAACATATGCTTAAAATTTGCTAAATCCTGTAACTTTATCGACTGGAAGTCTTTTCTTTTTGCAAAGATCAATTGGATGTGAGTAGGTACTCATAGATAGTAGTAAAAGTTTAAAAATACAATTTTTAAGGTTATGAAAATACCTACTAAGTTAAAGAGTTCTGTCGTTTCTGCTTTCACAAATCCTGCGTCCAGCATTAATTTAGTCAACAAAACCAATAACGGGAACCTTTTCTACAAGATACAAGAGTGTTTAGATACATCTTTATAAGAAATAAACATTTGTATAGTTTTTAAGTAAAGTAACGGAAAATATTCTAGTGAATTAAGTTATTTTACAAATTTGAAAAAATTCAAGAAAATACGTAGATTCTGGGACTGAAGTTAGTAGGTTTGCAGAAAAGGCCTAAAATACGTAGATCTACGTAAAAATACTTAGAGTTGGCAACACTGATTCTCATTGAGATTTTTATTTTGTGGATGCTGTGCAGACTACTATACACACACTTATTATGTTTTTTTTTTGTTGAAGTTCTCCCGTTTTAGGGAAGGCAAAGGGAACAATGCCCATACAGCCTAGTCTTTAATTAAATTTATCTTTTTATTTTTACATTAGAATGTCGGTGTGACGCATTCTAATGTTTCTTGGAGTGTTTGGTACGAAATGTATCGAGTTGGCTTTTTCGATAAGCTTCTGTGAGGTAGTCAACACTACAATAAAATTCTCACGTCCACTTGACCGGAATAGCCTATATTTTAATGATTCCGCTAATTCTTCAGTTACGCAGACAGTTGTTACACAAAACCACACCAATTTTATTTCACAATATCCACTATGAACGAATTTAAGAATAATTAAAATAAGACGCCAACCGCACTCGATGAAATCCCGCCAAAAAAGTCCCTTATTATGTTTTTTATGCCGTCGCTTGACATGGCTATTCGTTTTGCTATTTATAAACTTAACAGTCTCTCCTTTTCACTCCCTATAAAATGTGATAAGGACAATCTGCTGTCAAAATAAAAGTTAAAATGATTTACCATGTAAAGTGCAAGTATTACAGCTGCACTCAAACCATAAATATGGAACTAGCTCTTCGTCAGCCTTTGTCTGTGGAAGCTAATAAGCTATGTCTACGGTGTAAAATGACAAAATTAAGGTTTTTGGCGGGATTTCATCGAGTGCGGTTGGCGTCTTATTTTAATTATTCTTAAATTCGTTCATAGTGGATATTGTGAAATAAAATTGGTGTGGTTTTGTGTAACAACTGTCTGCGTAACTGAAGAATTAGTGGAATCATTAACCACTATCATTAATCACACTACAATAAAATTCTCACGTCCTCTTCACCGGAATAGCATATATTCTATTCCGGTGAAGAGGACGTGAGAATTTTATTGTAGTGTTGACTACCTCACAGAAGCTTATCGAAAAAACCAACTCGATACATTTCGTGCCAAACACTCCAAGAAACATTAGAATGCGTCACACCGACATTTTAATGTAAAAACAAAAAGAAGATTAATTTAATTAAAGACCAGGCTGTATGGGCATTGTTTTCTTTGCCTTCCCTAAAATGGGAGAACTTCAACAAAAAAAAATGACAAAATTAAACGTCAAGTCCATAGACATGTCAAGTCAACTGAATAGGGATGTGTGTTAAGAATATATCGATAATAATGAGTCGATATCAATATAAAGTTTTATAGGCTTAGAAAGCAGATGATATACCTATTTATTTAATTCTTTTTTTGCATTCTGTTTGGTTGCAGCTCTTGCAGTTCTTGCTAAAATTTTATAGCGCTAATTAAGGGCATGGGCTTTTCACCTATTTTTTTTTGATAGCGATATAAATTCTTAGGTACTTTAGTTGGGCGGTGATCACAGAATATTTTTTTATATGGGGAACTTTCGTACTAGTCTCTAACGCCATCTATCGCGCCGGGTCCGTTATCACCTACCAATCCGCACTAGGTCCGTTATCACCCACCAATCCGAGCTGGGTCCGTTATCACCAACCAATCCGCACTGGGTCTGTTATCACCCACCAATCTGCACTGGGTTCATTGTCACCAACCAATCTGCGCTGGGTCCGTTATCACCCACTAATCCGCAATGGGTCTATTATCACCCACCCATCCGCACTGGGTCCTTTATCACCCACCAATCCACGCTGGGTCCGTTATCACAAAACAATCCGCACTGGATCCGTTATCATCCACCAATCCGCGCTGGATCCGTTATCACCCACAAATCTGCACTGGGTCTATTGTCACCAACCAATCTGCGCTGGGTCCGTTATCACCCACCAATCCGCAATGGGTCCATTATCACCCACCCATCCGCGCTAGGTCCGTTATTACCCACCAATTCGCACTGCGTCCGTTATCACCCTCCAATCCGTGCTGGGTCCGTTATCAACCACCAATCCGCACTGGGTCCGTTATCACCCACCAAGCACTAGATTCATGTATTTTGTGACGGGAATTGTTCATTGTTTACCTATGTGTGCGCACATAACGTACGTCACTCATTCACCAGTTGACCCCCCAAGTAGGCTTGCCAAGTGTCCGGCTTTAGCCGGACATGTTTGGCTTTTAGCTGTCGCGTCCGGCCAAATATGTACGTGTTTGGCCTGTCCGGCTTTTGTCAGACTTTTTGTCAGAGTGGCGATTCGTACGACGATGGGCGGACGTGAGCGTGACTACCCGCTGTCTGATATAATAAATGTGTCCGGCTTTTAGGGCAAAATGTCAGGTCTTATATAGTGCGCAGTCCGGCCTTTGCATTTTATGGCCTGGCAACCCTACCCCCAAGTCAAGCGTGCCTAAAGAAGTTTCATTTCAAAAAGACCCTTGAGTAAAGGAATAAGATCGTTATTTGTTTCATTCAGTGTACTGCGTGATGTATTATAGTGATGGGACTATGTTTGATTCTGTCGGGTTATGTGTGATATGACAACAACTTCGCGTGATATCATAAATATAATATCACGCGCATTACATACATATTATGACGTCTACTATTTTCATCGTACGATACGGCGTAGCACGTACATCCTTACTTAACTCCATCCAAAAATACCAAATTACCAAAAGTCAATGCAGCACAAATAGCGCAGCAGCATTTTAAGTATTGTTTTGCTTGTTAATTCAAAAATTAGGAGCAAACGATTCTGTTGATAATATTTTCCACTTCACTGGAGTGTCTTTTAATCCAACATGACAGTGTTACTAGATATCTGGGTCAGGGAGTGATTTTCTGTGGTGTTGTTTCTGAGTACTGTCTCCAGTCTCTTGCTCCCATTGGTAAAATTGAATTATGTCGTCAACAAAAGAGATTAATGATATGCCGGGTCTGGAAGCTGAAGAGTCTTTGTTATATTCGGCTAGACATGGAGAGCTATCGGTTGTAAAGGCTCTTTTAGAGGCGAAAGCGGGTGATAAAATAACATTGGATATCAATTGCAAAGGTATAGTAAAGTCGAAGTTAAATATTATTTCTCGGAGTTATTATAAATTAGCTTGAGAATGTTTTAAATATAAAAAAATATTGTGTTTAATAATAATGAGAGTAAGAATTTATGACTACAAGATTTGTAAAGTTTGTATTGTATTTACTATCACTGCTGTTGAATTATTATTGGCTTATGGACTAAGTAACACCCGATTTATACCAAACCCGTGGTACCAGTACATTATTTAGTTTATAAAACTAAATAATACTCATACAAACTAAAAACCGGTCAAGTGCGAATCACCTCACTCATGAAGGGTTCCGTATCAAAAACGACAGAAAATCAAATCTATGTATGGGAGCCTCCTTAAATATTTATTTTATTTTAATTTCATTATTTATTTTGTAAAGTGAATATTTAAGTATTTTGTGAACATCTTAAGTAGCTACATGTTTTTTGTATGGGTGTCCCCCTTAAATATTAATTTTATTATATTTTTAGTATTTGTAGTTATAGCAGAAACAGAAATAAATCAGCTGTGAAATTTTTTAACTGTTAAGCTATCACGTTTAATGAGATACAGCCTTGTGACAGACAGCAGTCTTAGTAAATGGGTTCCGTTTTTACCCTTTGGGTACCGCACCCTAAAAATTATTGTTTCGTCCAAGTGACATAATAGATGTACTTGGGCTGAGTGGGTATAAGTAATTTTTTGTAGAACTTTATAAAAATTAGACCATAAGCTAACATATTGTATTAAATCATTTTGTTTGTTTCAGGTAAAACCAAGAGTAATTTAGGATGGACACCTTTGCATTTGGCTACCTATTTCGGCCACATTGATGTTGTTAAAGTATTGTTGGAGGCAGGAGCAGATGTAGACGAGGTCAATGACACGGGTGATACAGCCCTGCACAAGGCTTCATTTATTGGAAATGAGGTAATTACTTTTAATTAATGAATCTTTTGCTTCTTTTAGAAATTTGGTAAATAAAGAAAAAAAAATGTACTCAATATATTTTAAAATAAGAAATATGAAAGCAATATTTTTATTTTTAAGCATTTAACTGCTAGATTTTTAAATCTTAGAGGAGATGGCGCTGAAATTTGATCCGTCTATCAGGGCCATGGTAGCATAATTCTAGCAATTTTTTGATTTTTTGTTGTGTAATATCTTTCCTCTCACTTTCTTGCAATTTGTGGGAGTTTTTTTTTTGGGAAATGGGATGGAAGTGTGTAACAGGAAGTTGCGAAAGCGCACGCTATTAAATTTGACTTTAGAACATAATGTTCTTATGGCTTATTCCTTTTGTAGGTTTTTTTTTTTTTTCTAATATACGGTGAGGTTTCAAATGTTACACATCCTTTATTTTTAGAACTCTAGTAGTTATTTCTTTGCTTTGCTTTTTGATTAAATGTCACTTGTAAATTAGATTTTATTAAAATATCATATAAAATTTTATTATATTGTGTGTTTATTTGGTAGAATTTAGTGATCCTGTTACTTCAACATAAAGCAGATGTGAATATTATGAATGGAGAGGGCCGCACCGCTTGCGATGTGTGTAAGACCCAAGATGTTCAGCGTATGATTGAAGCTGCTCAAAGAGCAGAACGTCTTGAGAGAGAAAGAAAACTACTTACAGCAGCTAAAGAGGGTCGAGTAGATGACATACAGGAGTTGGTGTGTATTTATCTTTGCCTTTGTTTTGTATACCTTCCTGCCTCTCGTATAAAACTAAAGATACTGCATTTTACGTGTACCAATGCATGTCCACTGTTTTCAAGTCAAGACATTCATTGTTTCATGTCATGAGAGTTCAGAAAACTAAATCTACAATAATCAATAACAATATTGATAGAAAAAGAAAGCTCATATACTATAAACAATACAAATAAAGAGTATTGTTTGTATACATAATATCCTCAGTTAAAAAAAATGTCTTAATATTATCAGTGTATTGTTAATGCAAAGCTATTTCCAACTTTATAATATACAGATATGATATACTATAAAGATAATAGGATCTTAATATAAGATGTATTTTTTAGCTCAGCAGCTCGAATCCACCAAACATAAACTGTGTAGACGCACAAGGCAACACATGCTTGCACTGCGCCGCATACAGGGGACACGCGCGACTCGCCATCCTGTTACTACAGAATGGGGTCGACACAACGCTACGGAACAACAGTGGTGAGAACAAATAGTCTACATTGAACTATTACCAAAAAGTGGGCCATGAATATTAAACTTGTTACCACTAAGGATGTTGAGGCAGCTACTCAGTTTGTTATTAATGTTTATTTGACAGAATGAAAAGTAGCAGCGATTTTACTATTCAGAGGAAACAAATAATTAATATATATTTTTTGAAATCATTAAATAAAAAAGATGTTTTTGTTCCATGATCACTTGACTGAAAACGCATGGTATTGGCGTGGACTAAAAAGACGTCACACGCTTGCAAACTTCCGGTCAAAGTGACTACATAGTATCGTTTGACGTTTAAAATGATAGTCGGTGAAGTCACACATCAGTGACACTCCATAATGTCCAAAGCAACGTTTTAGCGGTAACTTGAAAATCGAATTTTCTGATTTAGTTGTTTTTAATGAAATACTCAATGATGTATGTGTAATAACAGAATGATGAATATCCACTTTAGCGTTGTAATCCCAAGGCACCATAATAGCATTTTAATCCCTGGGTCAATCAAATTTTACTTTGGGCTATGTTAGAATTTTCTTCCTAAATGCAGGCCAACTAGCCATCGATCTGGCGAAAGATAACGAGATGCGCGAAGTGCTGAGCGTCCGCCCCGTGCAGCGGTTGCAGCGCACCGCCGCAAGGTTCGAGGGGCCGCTGCTGAAGCGCTCCAGGTTCCTCGGCTGGAGGCCTGTCTGGGTGAGTTATATATCGATCTGGGTAAATATAACGAGATGCGCGATGTGCTGAGCGTCCGCCCCGTGCAGCGGTTGAAGCGCACTGCCGCAAGGTTCGAAGGGCCGTTGCTGAAGCGCTCCAGGTTCCTCGGCTGGAGGCCTGTCTGGGTGAGTTATATATCGATCTGGCGAAAGATAACGAGATGCGCGAAGTGCTGAGCGTCCGCACCGTGCAGCGGTTGCAGCGCACTGCCGCAAGATTCGACGAGCCGCTGCTGAAGCGCTCTAAGTTCCTCGGCTAGAGGCCTGTCTGGGTGAGCTATATATCGATCTGGGTACAGATAACGTGATGAGCCAAATGCTGAGCGTCCGCTCCGTGCAGCGGTTGCAAGGATCAAATCTTAGTATAAAAATGTTGCTCTTGTGAGGGTGTAACGAGACAGGCTATATCCGTATACATTAGGGGTTAGAAATGAAAAGAATTCTCAAAACGTGTAAAAGAACAATCACACAGACAGAAAATAAGGAATTTATTGGCCGCCTTATCTTATTCTCTCGGACGCATATCCCTCAGTTCCAAAAACACATACTAAAAAACACGGATTACAGTATTTTTGTCTACGTATTTCACAGGAGATCGCACACGTAAAAATTCACAAAATTATAGCTTTTCTAATTACATATTAAATAGACGAAAGTTCGTAAGACAACAACCACCGCAATCCACAACTGTAGTGAAGATAAGAGCGCATCGCTAGTGCGGTGCGTACACGCAGATCACATACGTTGGGCGATATCGATTTTATTCGAATGATTCCTTAATATACTCACCCAGGTAGACGGCTTGTATGTTTGTTATTTTTTTACTTTATTTTTTTTCCATGAATAACTGCCAAATTAAACGTCTTGGGAATGAAAATGTCGAGATGTTGGATGCAAAGTTTTAATGGAACGAGCATTTAAATTGATTCATAGACTATAAAGACATATGCGTTTTGACGGATATATAGAACTTTCACCTCAATGCTGCAACCTGGTACCCGTCATACCAGAAAACCCTCATTAAACACTCCAGCAAAAATATTTTTAGCAGTAGAAAAAGGCGTTACAGCATAATGTCGTTGTCTACTGCCCATCAACTCCTGTATGTTTGAGCAGTAAACTGACATGGCGACCTACTTTAGGTCGCGCGGCATAATAGTTAATTTTATTGATATTATATATTAATTACACGAGTACGTTAAGAGCGCGCATTTGAAACAGTCAAGCAAAGAATCACCTACTAACATTTTTCTCTGTATTGACGTTCGGCTGCAATAAATACAGGGTGAAATTGAATGTTTTAATGAAACTTTGTGGGATTGTTGGGTTACATATATAGAGTATCTCTGAATTTTTTCGGATTTTTTAAAAATGATTTAAAATAAAATTCCTTTTTTTTGTTATATTTTAAGTCCTTTCCTCCTTTTGGGTACTAAATAATTATTCTTTTTAAACAGGCATACAGAGTAAGTAAAAAACAACTAATAAGCACTACTAAAAAAAACGTAAAAACAGAAGACGAGCGGCCGGGAGCAATGACCGCTCCCGCCCGTTGAATCGGTTGAATACCTACCTATGCGTTGAATACCTGCAAAGCGCAGTGAGCGAGCGCAGTGTCAAGTTTATCAACCGCGCGTGCGTATCTCTTAAATTTGTGACAAGAGAAGATTTGCAAATAATGCCTTGATTAGTTCTTGTTCTGTGGCCTCAATATAAGAAGTTGGATATGGTGTGTTGTTATTGTAGTGTCACGGAATACTCAGCAGAGCCACAAGGCTTTACGAAAATAGGTTTGGTGATTGATTGTGTTTACAAAGTGTATACGGGATGTTAAAGTGAAAAAAATGAATAGGTTCATCGGTCTCGTAAGTACTTTTGAATACCTGGTTATAAATTTTATTCTGACCCAAGTATTGAACTGCAATAAGTATTTCTTTTTGTTTAACATTTTCCTATTTCTAATCGTGACAAAATTATTATTAACTTTTAAAGTTTTTCTCTGCATAAGAGAAGATGACATTTGTGCTTATTATTTCAATAAAGGCATAAGACGACTTTATTGTATTGTGTGGAATCAAAGGAGTCAGCTGAACTCTGTGTAAAGGTACCTACTCACTCAACGGCTGGCGGGCGCGGTCGGTCGTTGACCCGCGGTGTAATTTTAATGTTTTTCCATTTTTTAGAAGTGCTTATTTATTAGTTATTTTTCACTGGATATGTAAGTTTGTTTGTTTAAAATGAATAACTACTCATAAGGAGGAAAGGACATAAAAATACGCAAATTATAAATAAATACATGAAAAAAATATACTTCAAAAATTCCGAAAAAAATCAGGCATACTCTATACATGTAACCCAACAATCTCACGAAGTTTCATTAAAACATTCAATTTCACCCTATATACAGTCAAAACCGAATATAACGATATCGTTTATTACGATGTGTCGGTTATTACGACCAATTGGCAAGGGTCCGACCGAAAACCTATATAAACCCTTAAGTAAACAAACCGCTTATAACAACACCGGATATAGCGAAATACCGATTAAAACGACTTTAAGCCAATGAATATTGAGTTCATATCGATATTCATTGGCTATAACGACCAACCGTTTTACTTGTTCTAGCAAAACAAAATATACTGTAGGTGCTTCAATATTTTCATAGTAAACTTATTACTTATTTTTCTATATTTTATTTGAAAACAAGCTTATATTAATTATCTACAACCATACTACACACATACAAATGACAATAAATATAAATATTTGAAACACTCACACCAATTAGCCTAGCCCCAAAGTAAGCACTGCAAGGCTTGTGTTATGGGATGCTAGGGTAACGGATAGAATACATATACTGTACATATATTAGTATATTATTATAGAAATAAATATTTTACATCCATGACTGGAATACAAATACTCTTATTCCTCACACAAACATTTGCCCCCACCGGGATTCGAACCCGGGACTTCTCGAGTCGGTGACACCATGAAACCCGGTGTACAAACCACTCGGCCACGGAGGTCGTCAAAATTAGGGTTGTAACGGAGGCCTTCTTAGCGGAGGCGGAGTGTACGAGCAGTACATTACGTATTTTATATTTAACCTAATTATTTTGATGACCGTGCGCAACTGCGTAGCGCGCCTCAATATTTAGAAATATTATTATTTTAGTGCAATAAACATATTCAATACGAACGGTCTACATTTTTTACATACCTTCGTCTGAACAGTTGCATTCCCGAAACATTAAACATTCATATTTGGGTACGAGCCCCAATATTGGTCCTTCGACTACAGTGAAGTGTGTGATTATCTGAAATCTTCTACGGTAGCGAACCGGTCATCTGGCCTCCCACAAGCGGGTCTCACCAGGTAGATTGAGGAGGCGCACATATCGTGGAGTACGTAAGCAATCGCACAGAACCACATCCTACATATAAATACAGTCTTACTGTCGAGTTTTTTACATCTTTATTTTTATAACATTATATTACCTACAACTACAGCACTATGGAGTCCAGTGCCCTCGCGTCTCTTTTACATCGTCAAGAACTAATCGCGGAGTGTTTGCGCAAGATGGAAACCAACATAAAAAAGGATTCTGCGTCTCGTAAAACGGCGGATTACATACAAACACGAACGGAACTTATTTCATCTTATATTGAAGAATTTGAAGAAAATCACGTCAAGCTCCTGAAATCTGTAGATAAAACAGCAGATTATTTTACTTCCGATGCACACACGTTGATAAACAACTTGTATGAGAAGATACGTACTTTATTACGTAACATTACTCCGTATTCTGCAGACACGACTCCAGCGAAAAAAGAAGAGAAGGGTGGATTTTCAAGAAGTGACGAATTAATTCAACAACAGCAAACCAATTTTCGTGCATTTTTGAGAGTCATACGTAATTTGGACATGGAGAATATTTCTGAAAAGTGGGAAATACTGGACAAACTACAAGCCTTGCAGTCGCGTTGGAACGTGATTGATCAGGTACATTGGCAAATCGATAATTTGTTGATCGGTTCTGATTTAAACTACGAACAAGATTTCACAAAATACGAAGAGATGTACGAAAGAAGTAAGCGAGAATTAAATCGGAAATTAAATTCTACAACAAGCCAAAGTCAAGCTACTCCTGCTATTGAGATTCCGACATTTTCTGGAAACTATACGCAGTGGCCCACATTTATGGACTTGTATTCTCAAGCTATACACAACAACAACATGCTGAGTAAAGTCCAGAAAATGCAACATTTAAAGGGAAAGCTACGAGGAGAAGCGGAGCGTCTGGTACAGCATCTTAATATATCAGCTGACAACTACGATACTTGCTGGGAGCTCCTGACACATCGTTATAACAATCTACAACTTTTATTCACAAAACAAATCCAAGTTTTTATGGGACAACCACCCATAATGAAGGTGACGTCATATGAGTTGAAACGTTTACATGATACAAGCTTGGAAACGATTTACGCTATCCACAATCTGGGCGTAGACACAACTACATGGGATCCAATCCTGGTGCATATCCTCACTGAGAAAATGGATCCCGATACTTATGGATCTTATATGGAGTCGAGGAAGGATCCACGCCAACTGCCTTCCTTTGATGAACTGATAACTTTCCTGGAGAGCAAGTTCACTGCCTTGGAACCAGTCAATAGGAAAAATAGATCAAACACAACAAAACAAGAATCTGGAAATAACAAAGAAATAACAAAACAAGCAAAACCCTACAACTACAACAATAATAACAAGTCCTTAAGAACATATCATACATTCAAAGGTACATCAAGAACATGTCCTTTATGTAAATCAAATCACATCTTGATTTACTGCCCTGAATATCAGAAGTTGACACCGGACGACAAAGTTCGGTCATTGAACCAACATAATATATGCAAAAACTGCCTCTATTGTCACAATACACAGAAATGTAATTCGACCAAAACATGCAA